ATTGCTGAGTGGAAAATGTTCAAATGATCTTTGGCTTTGCGAAAGGCAATTTACGATTCAAATAATTTGTTTTAATCAACCTCAAAAAACAAATGTTAACTTTTGCTGATTTACTTTCGTTAACTTCAATTGAGATAAATTGAGTTTTCAAGGGTTAGAACATTACTCGAAATCCAGTCACAATTAAAGCACAGCCAACTGTTTAAAATTGATTGTAGAATAGGAATTTGCAATTCGAACATTTCTAGGAAATTTTGTCGAGAAAGAAAGCGATCCTGGTTCATAAAAAAGTCATGATGGTTGTGTAACTAGCATAAAGATCTTAAGCATTCGAAGAAAGTTATCTTTGAACTAATATAAGGAGATTAAAAGCACAGAATGCATTAGTTCAACTTTACGAAAATTCATTTTCTTCAAAACAAGGATTTTCCAAGATTCGAGTTTCGTTCAAAATGCGCTAAATCATTAGTATTCGTTTTCATTTGAATGTCACTTCCGAACACTTGCAAGTTTTTACAGAATTCGTCAAGCTAAATGCTCTAAAATGTCGAATTTTTCAATGAATGACAATTTACATTTTGATGGAAATCAGAGAAAATAGAAAACTTTTTTGATTAAAAACTTTTTTATTAATAAAATGAAATAAGCCAATGAATTCAATCATTCAAGACAATTTAAGATCTCCAAATCATCGAATTTCTGAAAATTTCTAAAGCTAGGTTATGACAAAATTGCATTCAATTTGAGTGAACGAGGTTTGAAAGAAGCGCAAACAAGAAGTAAGTAAATTTGCTGAAAACTCATTCAATTGCGAGCGCGACTGAAAGATGAAAGCAAAAGTGTAAATCGAATCAAATTTTACCCAAAATCGAGTGTATTTTAGGAAATGTTTTAAAAAGAAAATTGTGAATTTTGGAAAAGTTTTCTTCTCAATATTGATTGGTAACTTTTTTGAATGGTTGCATGATAACAATGAACCTCTATCATAACCATTAAGGTTAACCTCAATTTCATTATTATTTAACCAAAATGTTGATTGAACCAAGACTCAACCCAACAGTGGATAACAATATCACCTAATATCGGGGAAAAAAGGAAAAGAGAAAAAAAATGTTGAACATGTGAAAGAATCGAAAGAAGAAAAAGAAAGAAGGAAAAAGGTAGAAATATTAGCTCGCAGGTATTTCCAGCCTGAGATTCATTTCAATTCATCCTTCCTCTACTCATCATATCTTATTATAGTCGCTGAATATAAACCGTACAAGAGTAAATTTTCTGGCTTGTATTATTTACCCAAAGAAAATGAGCAAAGAAAAGAGCAAAGCCAAAAAAAAACGAAAAGAAAGAGAGAAAAAAGTGAAATTGTTCTGATTATCATCATTCAGTTTTTTCCTCATTTCACCAAAGTCATCATCATTATCTAGCTTCCTCTTGATCATCATCTTACATCTGACCAGGTAACAAGGAATAAAAGAATGCATTAAAGCCAAAAAACTGGCAGAAAAGCAATCTCAATCTAATATTTATCTCTACCTTAATATTTATTATAAAGATGTATTCATCTTACATGAAGATATCAATATTGCCATCATTTCTGTTATTGATGAATTGATGGATAGTTCAACGCTAAAAGCAACTTTTTCCTGTCAAAAGTAGAACAAAATTTTTTACTCTTCAATGTCGACTTTTTTCACTTCTTCATTGACACATGCTGTTGAAAGGTTACTACTGATCTGAATAGGTAACAGAGTTTGCTTTTTGTCTCCTTGGCTTCAGGCTTTGTCGCCTTTCAAAGCCATTTAAATTGTTGGTGAAAATGGTTCAACATTTTTCCATCAACATCTTCATTAGATTCATTTTTAGGTTCGCCTTTTCCTTCAATTGCCTTTTCTTGCCATCATACAAGATATAATAAATTTGTATTAACCTTTCAAATTGCATTTCTGAATGCAATGAATTTCAGATTCTTGACGGAATCACATTGAATGAGAAGAAGAATCATCTCGACGAAAGAATCAGACAAGTGAAATGTTGATTCGTTTCTACTTTTCTTCTTCTTCTTTTCCAGTCAATTGATGATTTGTTTGATTCCCGTTTATGCTTTGCTTCTTGGCTTCTTTCATGGAAAAGCAAAATTTGAAATTGATGATGGAAATCTATAGATTTAGAGTTTGCTCGAGTTTTTGTGAAAAGGATGAAGAGTTAAAAGAGATTAGAAATTGGAATGAAAGTTGGAATAAACAGATATTCAGATTAAAATTTATATCACAAGTTGGGCCTTCTATTTGCGAATTCATTTGGTGTTCATCTTTAGTCTTTCATCATTTCACTTTTTTCTTCTTCTTCTTTTCCCTTTTCTTTCCTTTCTAAATATTCTGAATAATTTCAGTTGAGCGCAACAATTTATTCATGCCAACCAAATGCTATAACCATTTCAATGCATCAGCTTATTTGCTCTTCAAATACAGATAAAGGTTTTAAGCTGAAAAGGAAAAATGATGGAGGAGAAAATGAAAAAAAGGTAAAATTCCAGGTAAAGTTGAAACTTTTATTCGTTCTTCTATTAATGCCTTTTCCAATCTTGGTCATTTATCCTTTTCTATTCATTGATCATGTTCATCATGAATTCCGATCACTCGAACAGCTTCAACAAGGAGGAAAAGTTTCCAAAGAAAAAGAGAAATCATTCAAATTATAAATTATTTGAAACAAAATTCAACATCAACATCACATAATACCAATTGAAGGATCCCAAAATTTGGACCGAAAAATGAAATTCGAAGCAAAACTTTAAAAAGATAACCTTCAATGTTCTGGTTCCATTCGAAACAAAATGTTTTAGAACAAAGAAAACAGAATAGATTCTTATAAATTCTCATTTGTTCGAGGTTCGATTTCACCTCTAGAAGTCTTGGAATAATTGCATCAAATAGAATTTCAAAGAAATTTCTTCGACTGAAATTGTCTGAATTTTTCTCTGAAGAAAACTATGCTTTTCTTGATAATCTTTTCTTTGCTCAGCGTTCATAACGGGCTTAATTTCGTGACTTGTTCAAGATCGCTGAAGATTAGAAGCGAAGTTTGTCTTTGGTGAATTTGCAACTCGAATAGGATTTTGAGTTGATCTTGACAAGTTGCTCCACATCTTTTATCGATTCAATTACTTTCGTGATTCATGTTGATGGAAGGAATGAATTTTCATGATGAAAAAGACTTGAGTTGATAATTTTGATGGACTTTAGATCATCTTTTTTCATCGACTTTCATCTTCTTTAATCAGCTCAATAACTTATTTTCAATTTGAATGAATTTCAAATTTACTTTTTCTTTTCATTGAATTGAGTAGAGAAAAAAGAGAAAAATAAAAAACTTTTTTTCACCTTTTTTCATCTTCTATTCTCATAAATAAAAATCATTACTGTAAGTGGTTCAAAGATGCTCACAATTCGAGTAACATTTATTTGCCTCTTCAAAGTTTAAAAATTTTTGCACAAAATTTTTCCATCTAAAATAGCAAATCTAAACGAACAAAAATTCAAGTTGTTTTCCTTGTTTCTTAACTATTATTTACAGAGTAGCTCAGAGTTGTTACGTAAACTCATAACCAAATTGATAAAACTTGAACATTTCAAGTTCATTTCTTTCATTTAATCGGAAAATTCCTTTGCTCTCCCAACTTTCTTTGTGTCAAAATCAAAATTAGTTTCGTCCCGACTTTCGAAGGTAAGTTTGAATTCGTCAAATTAACCGATTTCGATTATCAAACTCAATGAAAATGAGCTGAAAATTGAATCTATTGATAAGAATTAAGAATAATGTTCAATGATTTAAATAACATATTTTTCAAATACAGAACATTCAGAATTGCCAGAAGAACCGGATAAGGATAAAATTTGGAGAGTTTATTGATCATCTAATTGATGTAGAAAAAATTGAATATCGATTTACAGAATGGTAATCATGATAGTTCTAAGAGTCAGATTTTTTACTTTCTAGTTTTGCTATAAATATAGATCCAGCGATCTAATGATTAATGATTTACTCGAGACTAACATCAATATCTTGCTGTGTGAACATGATGATCTTCAGATCTATGTTTTTGTTGGAGTCGACTGATAACCAACAATTGCTTTAGATATACAATGGAGTTCAAAGCTTAGCGTCAAGAGCGTTCCAGTTCATGCAAGGTTCAGCTAAAGTTTTTAGCGAATTTCATGGCACGAAAATTGTTAATTAAAAGAGGAAAAGCAAATGCGATCGAACATTAGACGTGGCAAGTTGAATGTGAATATTGGGATTGGTTGATAAACTTGAGTTTCATCCTTTATTGGTTAAACACATTTTCATATTCAAATGTATTAATATTAAGCCACGATAACACGAAAAGTTATGAGTTTCAATCCCACTGGATATCAATAAACAAATGATATGGAAAAAAGTAAAAGGTTGAAAAGTAGAAAACAAAACATGATGTATTCATGGCGAAATGAGAAGAGCTGAAAATCGAAATGTCAACCACTTTTTTTATCTCCATTTTTTTCTTCTTTACCTCATCTTGTTATTTATATTGTAGAGACATTCATTTCAAGTCTGGGTGTACCTTGGTGTCTGTCTCTTGCTGGATAAATGTAACTCTTATCATTACAGAATTTTTACGGAAAAAACTCATGAAAAAGAAGAGGCAACTTAAGAGTTTTCATTTACTATTATTTCCATTATTATTATGGTTGTTATTTGAATTAAACTTGTTCCAACATTTGTTAGTATTCATTTGGAAAATTATTCATTTTCTTGTTCCATTTATTTCTTCCTTTTCATATCTTTTAATACTTTGCAACTTTTTTACATTTTATATGAAAAGACTTTTGTGTGTGTTCGTTGCTGGGAAATGCACAAAAGTATCCAGTTTCGGTTGACTTTTGATGGAAATAATAAAAGCTTATAAATAGAAGAAAGTAAGCCAATCGAAGAAAAGGAAAAGAGGAAAAAGTTCTACTTACGAAGTGAATTATATCTCCGAATAATATTCTCGAGGAATGTATTCTGAGGTGCGACGAGCCCTCTTCGTCCCCCCGGCATCTTAACATTACGCAGTTTCTTGATAAGAGTTGAACCCGCGACGAGTATTTGTCAATGTGTGAGCTTTCAAGAGAGTTGCAGATGACGATAAATTAGAATACGAAGTTTTGGCCAAAATCTGAAACAAAAAAAGTCAAAAATTTCGATCAAAACAAATTAAAAGCAAAAGTTCAAAAGCAGAAGAAATCGGAAAAGGCAAATTCGTGGTTATCCAACTTTTATCTTGATGTTGCTTGAGAAATAATTTCAAGGTTTCTTTATCAATCAAGCTTCGAGTTTTATTCTTGAATTATTTTCACCTTCTCATGTTAATTGAAATATAAGAGTTTCATTATCACGACTAACTTAACGATCATGAAGCAACAATAATTATCATTGGAATAACCTTTGAATAGAAATAAGAGAAAATCAATTTTTAGAACAACTTTTTTTCGACGATAAAAAATGTTCCAAAGTCGTTTCTTCTTTTTCAGCACACATGGGAATGGAAAGGCTCACAACAGCAAAGATAATGGTTAAAGGTTACAATGAGGGAAAGATGACAAAGATGAAGATTGAGAGGAAAAGATTGAAGGTTGCATTGTGGGTGAGATTGAAGGTGGATTTGTTGACTTAGAGTCAAGGCTTAGGGACTGGTGAGAGAAAGGATTGAAAGTATTAACCAGGAAAAGAGAGATGAGCAAGTAAAAAGTGAAAGACAGGAAAATGAAAATGTTGATGTGTAAAGTGATGGAAAAGTGAACGGATTAAGTTTGATGGATCAAGGGAAAAAACATTGAAAAAACGGTTATCGTTAAATGAGCCAATCATTGGACATTGCATGCTAATCACATGGAGTCACAAGGAGTGAACGCAATATTTAATGAAACATAATCACCATTGAAAGTCTTGAGAAAAGTATATTCCTTGAACGAAACAAAACTAAACAAAAGGCCAAAGATGAAGGTGAGGTAGATGATGATTACGCTTAGAGTAAAATCACTGTTAGTTATTTGTTTTCAGTGTTGAACATTTTTTTCTTGCACCAAACGAAACTTTTTTTTCCTGGTTTTACAAAAGTGTTTATTCAAGGAATCTGGTGAAGATGGATGATGATACAGATGATTAAATGATTGCAAGGGTTTGATTACAATTTGTTAAATTGCACATTATTAAAAGAAGGTAAACATTTTGTTTTCACAAAAAAATAATTTGCTCAATTTGGTTAAAGGTTTGTGCAAAATAAATTTTGTATAAGGTCAACATTTATTATTATTATTTGTTTCCCTTAACAATCAACAACCAGCATTATACAAACACAGGGAAGGACAAGAAAAAGAGAGGAAAATGAAGAGAGAGAAAGAGAGACTGAATAATAGACAGGGAAGAATGGAAGAATAGTGAGAACTTGTCAAGAATAATAACAATAATAATATTGGTAATGTGAATCAATAAAATGCGAATAAATTGACGATTAAACTTCAACTTTGCCTTTGATGTTAGTCATGAAAATGGCTTTCAAGAAGAGCAAATGAATGTAATCACAATAATTGATAAGCTGGGAGTTTGCCTGGGAGTAAAGAATATTTGGAAATTTTCTCAAATCGAAGGTTGAAATTTTGTAGAACTTTTTTTTCTCCTGACAAAACTTGAATCACGATTTCTAGTGTTGTTTATGTTTCTGGTTGGTAACATGAAGGTGAGACATTATGCGTTGATATGGCGAATTTAATTTTCGAGAAGAAAAAAACACTTTCTATTCAATTGTTTCACTGATAAACATTTTGTTGAACAGATTATTGTTGAGCTTATCCACTTTAGATGTTTGTGTTGGGCACTTGATGAAAGTGGAGATGAGATTAATGATTGATTCCAAGACTGAACTGGAACTTTTCTTTGTTGCTCAATTACAAGGGTAAAGTAAAAGGGTTATTCAGGGCAATGAGATTGTAATGAGAAACAAAAGTTTGGTTCGGGAAAAGTTGTGACTCGACTGACGGTTGAAATGATTTTCATGAGGCAAAAAGCGATCATGAGATGATGAGAAAAGTGAGATGAAAAGAGTGAGAAAAGGATAGAGACGGAGAGAGTTGAAGATATGGCCAGTTGAAGATCGTTTACTTTCTTGTCTGAGTTGCTCAATGGAAATGTTTAGTTGAGCGCATTTCCAAAGCGAATCAACATTTATTCAAAACTAAATTTTATTCAATCGAAAGAGAATGAATATTTTTCTCTCTTTTTTCTTTCCTTTTCCTTTCATTGCTAACTTTTCCTCTTTACACTCCTAATTGCTATCTGGACCCAATTCTGATAACTTGTCTAGACTCTAGTCAGTCCCTGTTAACCTCCCAGTCGAATTCGAGTTTTCTCCTTTTACAGAATATTCCAGCACTTATTGTTTTCCTTCAACACCATAACAGATTAGTTAATTAATCTTCTAACCTTTCAGGATTAAATCAGGTTTAATCGAATCTTATTCAAACATTTTCTTCTCTAAACTTTACCTTCATTTGGTTTTTGCTTTTCATTGGATTCACAGAATTTTTCGATTTTTTTCCTCTTAAATTGCCATTTGATTCCGATTGGAAGGAAAAGAAAGTTTCAAATAAAAGTTATCAATATTTTGCTTCATTTCTTTCAATGTTGTCCTTTTTAATATAAATAAATATCTATTGATTTGGGCAATGAAAAGGCAAAGATTATCCTTTTACGCGTGATTGCTTTATGATGATGAAACATTTATCTTCAATCATCTTCTCTTTTATATTTAACATCATCATTTTCCTTTCAACACTTTTTTTTCTCTCTCTTCTTCTTCTCATGAAATACAAGGAATAACTGAATCATAATCATGATCGTCAAAACAACAGCAAACAAGAGGCAACAGGGAGTAAAAAAAGCGATTATAAAGCAACTCAAATTGAAAACACCAAAGCAACTATAAATAATCTCAACATTTTTTTTCTCTCTCTCTCTTACTATCCATGTATTAATATCATCTGGATAACAATCTTTTCATGTATTAAAGGAGCATTTAACATTTTTCCTGGTTCAATGAAAACAAAAGGCGAAAAATTGTTATTACCATTGTTATCAGTTACCATTATCACAGTGGATAACAATAAAAACACCGATCATAAAACAATGATGTTTCAAGAAACAGACACAAAGCAGTTGGAAAAAAATATCACAACATTTTAATATAAATTATCTTAAATGGTACGCCAAGGATGCTCTGACTATTAAAAATGTAGAGTGAAAAGTTGAGTAAAACGAGAAGACGAGCAAAAAAGTAGATTCAGATGTAATAGTGAAATGAAGGAGAAGAAGAAGAGGAAGAAAAAAGGGAATTGTTATTGTTGCTTCTAATTGTTATCATTTTATAGTTACAATCGTTAAATGTGTTCAACAAGACAACAGAACCACAGATCATTTATTACATAATGAGTACTTGAAGAGTGGAAGAGAGAAGAAGATTTGGTGATAATGAGAAAGAGTATTAAGAATTGTCTCTGGAAAAGTAAGGTTGAAATGCCTACAAACAACTCAAAAATCAATTCCGTGTCATGCTGCTGCTTTTTCTTCTTTTCTGTTTCTTCTTTTATCTTCATAATGAAACTCTATCTTCTAATCTTCTTCTTCTTCGTCTTCGTCTTCTTCCAATTCAATTCAAATGGAGAAATATTCTCTTCTTTTTTCTGCTCTCTTCATTTTCTTCGTCTGGGAGTTTTGTTTTGGTTTTTTTCCTCTGATGAAAGGTTTCGGTGACAACGGATTTGCTCCATTAACTTTCCCAGCCTAGGGTTACTCAATGAGTTATGAGATGCAATCCAGTCAAACTCGAGTCCTTCATCTTCATTTATTCTCCTCTTGAAAATCTTCTCTTTCATCATCTTTAACCATCTTCATCATCCTGTCTTCATCTTTATCATTACTTTTACTTTTCCTTATTTTCATCTATTCTTGTATTCCGTCGGTTCATCCAAATTGCATTGATATTGGTTAAAGGTTGTGATTGTCTTCAACTTTTCTCAATCATTTTCCTTCGACTTTTCCTTCACTCATTCATCATTTTCATCTCTTTGGATAACATCTTTTTCATCATTTAAACCTATTTAATGTCTCATTGTTTCAGTCCATCGATATAAATTGGTAAAGAAAAAGAGAAAATTGATTTCAGTGAAAATTTCTTTTACATTGTTCTGTCCTTTTTCAATGTTTTGTTTTTTGAATTATTTTTATAACATTTTGAGTTTCTGTAAATTATTTCAATTCAGCCTTTAATTGCTAATCGAAAATTGAATTTGTTCATTTAGCTGGCAAATTTTGACTTGACTTCTCTGTAAACTACTTATATTTACTGGTAAATTGTTGTTTTTGTTTTACTTGAAATGGCTTATTTGATTTGTTTAAAGAAATAAAATTGGTAAACATTTGTTTAATCAAATGGAAAAGCATATTTATATTGACAGAGAAACTAAATTGTAATCATTTCTCTTCTTTTGCATGTATAAATATTGAATGAAAAAAAAACAGAATTATTTTATGTACATTATTCAATGTCCTTTTTGCTTGCGTTTTTTTCGTAACTTTTGGGTTTGCTTGTTCCATGTTGTTGGTGTTCTCGCATTTTTTGCTGTTCATCATCAAAAAATATATTTACAAAGTTAGAATTAGATTAAATTCTGATTGATTCCTATAACATTAACAATAGTTTTTTTTAACTCTCTTTACAAAGTGAATCAGAATACAAATTTTAAGAAGACTTGGTTTCTTTCATTTTAACGGCTTTTCCAGGTAAATTTTTGTTCAATGTCGATGACGGCAATGAAGATGAATGGCAATGATGAAAATGATAAGGAAAACGTATAAAAAGAGGAAATATTTTGAATAACTAAGATGATGCATTTTCAATTTTGAGTAAGGCCACAATCTGTGTTTATAAGGCAAGAGTTATGCAGATATATATCAGGCAAACAGGTACGATGAGAAATATTGGCCATTCTTCGGCCCGCTTGGTTATATCGAGTCAATTTGTATTTGGAAGAGAGGCAAGAACGGGTTTGAAGAAACTTTAAGATGATGGAATGGATGAAAAGGTGGAAACGCAGGCAAAGAGAGAAGGAGAGGGTGAGAGAAAGAGTAAGGTTCATCTTGACGGGATTATTTTGTGATCAGCAACAGTGAGAGATACAGAATGGCAAAGAGTAATTTAAAGGTTGATTTGATGTTGAAGTTGATTGTGATGATGTTGGCATTCATTGTGGTAAACAGAGAAGGCAAAAGAGCACGATAACAGTTTTGGCCAATAGCAGCAGAGAGATAAAAATATATAATATGTATAAATATGTATATGTATTTAAATATTTATATTTAATATTTTATCAATAAACCAATGGACGTATTCCTGTAAGTCATATTATTGTACGAAAAAGCAAGATGTAATTTCCAGGCCAGAATGTTTCTTTACTCTTTTCTCATTGCAACGCTGGGTTTAAGTTTGTCTTTGCGCGTTTTTATTAAGTACGATTCATTTGGCTGCGTAGCCACCTTTTTCAATCTTTTTCCTCAATTTGGAAACCCAATACTGTTGTTCCTCTATTGTTCCAGCCAACAATAAAAGTTCTTTGGCGCTGTTGGGATCATAATTTACTTTACATGGTGCAATTTTTTCCTCTGTTATGTGTTCCCGGTGAACTTTGACTCGGCATCCTATTGGAAAGTAAAATAAACGATATAAGTTAATGGATATAAAAATGCAATTAAATGAGAGAAACGATCCTTCTTTGAAACATGTTTTTAAGATTGTTGTTTCTCTTCATCATTAAATTGTCTGACAAGCATTCATGAAGCATGTACGTACGTCGACATTCCAATGCTAATGGAGGTTTGAACATATGCCAAAGTGGCTTTGGACAAACTTCACAAGTTGTAGGCATGTGATAACTGATGGGAATAAAATCATGTCCTTTGTGCTGCTCCACTCCTGACTGTGGCAGCTAAATGGTAGAGAGACGGATAAAAGAAAAACGAAAATTAATATTGAAATAATTATGAATAAAAATTGATTAAAATGATAAAGGTTTGGTTTTTTTGTTCTTTTCTGGGCCAATCATTGTGCATCAACATGAAGTAATGATTATATTGAATAATGATTGACATTAGCATAAGTAAATAATTAACCCTAATGAGGAGACTACAAATGTAGTAAAAGAAAGTGAGACGTGATAATGAATACAATTTGATGAGATGTTCATTTTTTTACAAATTGACGAGTTTGACTCGGGCTAAGTTGGTTTCTAAGTGTCAATAAACAGCCTATAACCTTGTGAGATGACAAGTTCATTCACATGTTCATGAAATACCACTGAGAATATTGCTGTCTCTGTCAAATTCTTGAGACTAGGATGACAGAAGTACACAGATACAAACTCATCAACATGTAAAATAGATGTAAATTGTACAGTTATGAATATTTTGCTGCAAAGTTGAGACAAAAGTTGAATCAATCAGATATGTGTGTGAAAATTTGCCAGATACAATAAAACTTCCTGCTGTTTGAACTCTCTGGATCGTTGTAAAGGATTGTTACCTCTTTTTGAAGTTCCGGTGGAGTTGAGTCAGTTGGTTTCCTGCTTTCACCTTCCCCAGCGTATAAGAGCTGAATAGAAGAAAAAATTCAAAAATTAGCGACAATTCTGTAAACACGAGATTTAATTATTCATTACCTGAAATATTCTAGGGATTTCTTTTGCATCAGCACGGATGACATCACCTTGGGTAACAGGTCGAACGTGAAATAATTTACTAAAGAAAGAAAAGAAATTATTGATTAAAATGTCTTATGATCGATATAAGATGAAATTATTGAAGAATTGACTATTAACCTTAAATCCAATATTAGAGCTGGATCAGCTTTGGCTTTATCTGCTTCACTGTTATAAAATATAATTTTACGACTCGATACTACAACATATTGCTTCCTCCAACCATATCTTTTAATGTTTTGCTTATTTGGTATAGAAAGCCATCCTTGAAGACGCATATTTTCAACATCCTCTGAATCATTATTAACCAAAGATAATTGACTTGAATGGAGATCAATGGTTGTAATTGATTCTCTATGACAGATTTGCATCCTAAGATTTTCAATTTCAGAATCTTTAGAGTCAACTTCCATTTGTAACTTAATCTTTGCTTGGTTTTCCTCATGGAGTGAAGCTTGAAGCTCAGATATTTCTTTCTGGAAACGGGCAACCATTTGATTGTACTTTTCTCTCTCCTTGAATAAAAAATAAAAAATGACGATTAGTAAAATTTACTCAAACATAATAGATTATTTTTGTGTTAATCAAAATTTCAAGATATTAGTAAACTAGAGTTTCCATCAACTCTGAATTTAAGAAGTGGCGTAAACCCATTGACAGTTAAATGTTTGATGTTTGCTTTCAAATTTTTTGCTAATTGTTTCTGCAATTGCAATTTCTGAGCAAAAATAAATGAAAAATATTGAATTCTTATCAACTGGCAATGCTTTTACAAGGGTAAATCAATCGAGAAAGGTTCAATGTTCGTACTTGAGTCAGATCTTGTTGAAGTTTTCTACATTCCTTCTCTTTCTTTCTGAGTTCAGTTGAGCTTGATTTGTTCTTCTTTCCACCAATATTCGCAATATCTTTCCGTGTCATAATTTCTTCAAGTTTATGGACAGCCTGAAAAGAAGAAAAAAAGATAAGTTTGTTAGTTTTGTACCAAATAAAACAAAAGATGAGATAATGTAATCATTATAAGTTGATAGACGCATAAAAAAATTAAAATTTTGAGAGGAAAAATGGTTCAATTTTCAGACAATTGCATGAATAATGATGAATGAAAGAAAAAATTTGATCACTAATCATGCTTTAGAGTGCTGTTTGTTTCGTTTTTACTCTCTTTTTTGTTAATCTTCCTTTATTACCTGAGTCTTGAGATCTCGCTCCCGTTTCAACTGTTTCTGGAGGAGTGCCAATTCCTCTTGATTGGTGTTATGGTTCTTCATATTGTTGATTTCTACTTGGTGTCAGATAGAAGAGAAAGAAGAAAAAAAAGAAATCAGATTAGATTATCGTTCATCATAATTTTCTAGCTCAATTTCAATTCATTTTTCATTTTCTTGTGTTTGGAGAGAAAAAATAATGCTTCCGATTGTGTTAACGGTAACCTGTAAACCGGAATACATTCAAAAGGTAAAGTTTTAATGAAAAAAAATACGAAGAAAAGAAAAGATGACAAAAAACAAGTTTGAAAGTGAAAGATAAACTGAAGAAAATAATGAAAAGGAATTCTATTCTCTCGATTGATGATTGTCCAGAAAAGTTAACCAGAACTGGAACAATTGATGTTAGATTCAACTGACTACGAATAGCAAAAGATTTCAAACTTGACTTTCGATGAAAATTGTAAAAACATCTGACCTTTAATTGGAATGTAAGTTTTATTGACTATTGGTTTAACCTTTAACATTAGCTGGTTTGATTGAATTAAAGGTAAAAAATCAGAAACGGAAGTTTTCATAATTTTGAGAAGAAAAAAGAATGGAATTTTTTTCATTGTTATTATTGAAGTTAAATAGATTTTGGTAAATAAGTGAAAGTAAGAAAAACGTTTCAATAGATTTACTATAATTTTAAACTTAGGTGAGAAGGAACAAGTGCATGGAATAAAGCAATTAAGAGAAAGAAAAAAGATTGTATCATATGCTAGTGAAACATCAAAGAGTTGAATAGAAAAATTGAATTTCAAAAGTGAACTGAACATTATCACAGGATATAAAAATATTATAAAACATCCTTTCAAAGTGGTAAATTATAATTATCCTGAGAAGAGGAAAAAATAATCATCATGATCTTGAAGGTTTTTACAGATGAACATTATTTCATCACAAGTGATGTTCCTTAAATAATGAATAATTTTGATTGCAATAAAAATAAACAAAACATTTATATATAAATATAAATTGTTACACATACCTTGTTGCATTTGATGAATCTTGGCATTCAGATTTTCTTGTTCCTGCTCCAGAGATTCTATTTTCTTATTCAGTTCGCTCTCTTTTTCCTTTGTTTTATTCAGTTCAGATTCTTTACTAATAATATCTGCCTTGAGACGCCTTTCAAGTTCTTGCATTTCAAGATCTCGAACAGCCTTTTCCTTTTCCAAATTAGCAATCAATCCATTAAGTTTGTCCATTTTCCCCGTTAAACTGCTCCTGGTTTTTGGATAACAAAACATGATCACAATTAGAAAGTTGAAAAAAAGGAAAAGAATATGTTAGCTTAATTGTTATTTAGACGACGCTTAGGAAGAGATTTGCTTAAGCTTTACAAGAAACTTTTTTAGGTAAAATCTGATATTTCCAATGAGATATTGTCATCTTTATGCTAACCACAATATCCATTTTCATTGAGTAACTCAATCTGTAAGTAATTATCCACTAATCAAGGCTTTGACTATTTGATCTTTCACCTTAATAGAAGTTTAAATCCATTCTTTCATTTCATTTTCATTCTGCTATCGATAGTTTAAACCAAATTTTTCCAACCAAATTTAATCAAAAGTTTCTTTTGATTTTGAATGTCCAATAGAAATATTAATGAACAGAAAAACGTACTTTTCTTCCATATAATCTAATATGAACTTTTGCTTTTCCTCCAACTCATCTTTCAAATGTTTAACTTGAGTCTTGTACAGTGATGTAAAGTGTTGCTGATCATCCAATTGTGTTTGAATGTCTTTCATTTGAATATTAATCTCGGCTCGGTGAGATTCCATCTTGGCGATATCATCTTCAAGCGTTGATTTAATATCTTTGTAATCATTCAATTCTTTCAACAATTGTTGCTCTCGTTGTTTATATTTGTTTAATTCCTCTAATGCTTCTCGAACTTCATTTTGAACGCTTGTCCTTTTGATTGATTCATCCTCTAATTGAGCCTTCAATGCACGAACTTTCTCAATCTCCTGTCTATATTCTCCTTGAAGTTTTTGGAAATGTTGATTTAATTGGCGATGTTCAACGTTTAACATTGATAATTGTCTTTCTTTTTCCTGGATCACAGAGTCAGCTTTTTGACGTAGGCCTTTTTCTTCGTTAAGTTTTGATTGTAAAGCTGTAAAAAGATAATTACGAAAAATTAGTTAAATTTAACCATTCCATATAAAGAGAAAATTGTACGGTAATACTTACATTGATAAGATTCAAAGTTGTCATTATTTGTTGAATTTGAATTTTCTATACATAGAGATTGATTTTTCTGTGACAATTTACATTGAAGATTTTTAAGCTCCAGTTTTAGCATTGAATGTTCCTGTGATAAGACAAAAAATTGTTCATTAATAGTCAGATAATGAGAACGCCTCGTAAATATTGAAATTGTTGTCATCGAAAAACAAAACTCACCTTTTCTAAACTAGCAGTTTTTTCAGTCAATTTTTGATTATCCATTCTAGACAAAGCTTCCTTCTGTTTCAACTGTTCCAACTCATTCTGGTAGGATTGTGTACGAACTGCAAAGATGAATAAAAACAAAGTTATTTAGGGGATCACGACTAGAGCCTTTCAACAGTCACTTGAACACAATGCAAAATTGATTGATTGGCAATTGGCTAACAGTAAAATAATAAAACAAAAATGCAACAAAAAACAAACCTTCAAGCTCTTTAGATATTGAATCGGCTTGTAGCCATGCAGTTTCAAGTTGACCTTTAAGTGAAGTAATTTCTTGAATATGATTAGAAATAGATGTTTGTAAATTATTAACGTCTTCTCTCAGCTGTTCGATAAATTGATCCTTATTTGAACAAGAAAGCGTCAAATCGGCCTGAGCCTTTTTCAATTTACAAACACTTTCCGTTTCATTTTTATATTTATCAGTTAGAATAGAAATTTGTTTCTCTAAATTAACAATCTTTTCATTCGAGTTTTGAACAGTTTGGTTAAGTTTTGATCGTAAATTTTGTTCTTGCTCTAATTTGGTCCATAAATCGTTATTTTTGTTTTCAACTTTTCTTTTTGACTCTATTTCATGATCTAAACGTCGTTGTGTCTATAAAAATAGGAGGAAGAAAAAAAAACAAAAAATCAATGATAAACAAAGAGTTTATAAAATAAAGGATAACAAGCAACCAGTTGTCAATGAATTTAGCAACCAGAAGATAATAGTTGCATTATTTCTGGCAATTCAGTAAGATATTAACACTTGCTTGCGTACCTCTTTAAGATCATGTCTAATAACCGCCAAACTCTTTTCCAAGTCCAATTTTTCACTTCGTAAAGAGTTGATATTTTCACTTTGTTGACTTAGGTTATCCAATTGGGCTAATGTGACTCTGTAAAGATTGGGAAAGTAAAGAAAATTGAAGAGAGTCGTTAATAAATTAATTCAAGTATGTTCATGAGAAAAAGCAGATTAAATTAAATGTATATGTCAATCAAGATTGGTGCCATTTCTGAAAATAATTTTCAATGATTACCCGAACAAGTAAATGCATGAAATTTTGTAAAATCAAACTGAAATGCACCTTGAAAAGGCAACTGAAAAGGAAAGATAAAGACTCAAAATAATAAGCAGTAAAGCATAACATCAACAAGTTGAAGGAAAAGAAAGTCGAGGAAATAATAGAAAAAGAAAATTTCACCAAACATGAAATAAGTTACACAGAAAATGCGAAACAGGGTAATGTTTATAATATTACCAGCACTAAAAACCAGATCGGAATACATTTTTACAGTTGAGAAGAAAAGGATTGAGCTTCCCATCATCTAAGAAATCATTTGTTAAGAATCTATATTTACTGTAATCGACAATTGAAAGTGTGTGAAAAAAAGAGTTAAAGGAAAGAAGCTTCGCTCTCTGGTAATTACCATATTCAATTAGCGTAAATACATAAATCAAACCAAAAGACATAAATTGAAATTAACATGCAATAGGTACAGAAAGAGCAATAAAATGTCCTGAAAGGCGAAACAAAAAAATTTCAATGAAAAAGCTAGACTTTGCAGAGTCCAAGAAATGTGACTGATGACTATTGTTTTACTTTTGAAGATTATGGAATGAAAAAATGAAAAAAATATGAATCATGACCAATTTACAGATTCTCAACCTTTCAGGTATCCTTTTCAACCTTTTTTACGCCCCCTAATCAAGAGGAAAAGAATCGCAAGACGGAAAAATACCAGTGAAGATTAAGCAAATTCCTGTGACTAAAGTTGCGTGAATATTGCATGAGTTCCGTAAATCAGAATAAAACATTTAAGAGAGTGAAAAAAAGAGAGTCACAAAGAAAACAAGTTTAGATTCTGAGAGCTGCTCCCTGATTACCCCATCTAATCCCTACTGTTCGCATTTTCCCACCAGTAACCAGCTCACTCCACTCTCTCAATCTTGTTTACTCTTCTTTTACCCTGCCTTCTCTTTCTCTAAATTACCTCTCTCCACCCTGAATCTTCATCTTTCTTCATCTATTATCATCTTTCTTCTTGTTGTTTTTAATGGTGATGCTACTTCTTGCTCATTCTCCCCTTAAGCTTTTATCGCACAATTAAAAGATGATGATGATGGAGAAAGAGAGGCGAAAGAATAATAGGAACCGTTAGCAGATGGAGGAAAAAAATCAGGTAAGATCAGGCAAAAAGGAATGGAAGATATGATGGAAAGCGTGTCCACAAAAATTTAACTCAAGTTATAAAAACAATCGTAATAATAATCATCAGGCTATCATGATCAATAGCAGCTTTCATCTTGACAGAAGAGATGAACAAAAAAAGGATCATAAATGTAAAGTATGTGGAGCTAAGATGGACGAGAGTGAAATGAAAAATCACCAAAAAAACTGGACACAAGAAGAAGGAGGTTGAAGCAACTGGTGTTTTCTGCTTTAAAAAACTCATTCTCTCACAGTTTCTCTCCCTTCTCTTGTGGGCATTTCTTTTGCTTACTCTTTTTTTGTGTTGTTGGTGTAGCTGTAGTTATAGTTTGTGTTGTCTTTTGGAAGATGAGCTTGAAGATGAAGTAAGCATAGCTAAAATGTCGCTGAAAATTATTCAGACTTCACCTGTTCATCATGATTCTTGAACTTGAATTTCAAGGATGAGGCATTTCTTTCTCTCCTTTCTTTTTATCTTTCTCTTGCTCTCACTCTCTACAAGAAATACTGGTCATTATTAAGATATTGCCAATTTATACTCTTGGATGAGCCAAGGAAATAATAACATCAAATGACCACTAAATCAACATTTTATCTAAACGCTGGTAAAAAAGTAAAAACTAATCAAATATATAAATTTAAATTTATAAACTTAAGCTTGAGAGACGCAGATTCAAGAGTAATAAACATAAAAATAAGATTATTGCAGTACACAATTAAATAGCGATAAAAAGATGAGCCAATTTTATTAATAATGAGTAATCTAATATAAAATGATTAGGCGCTTTTGTCAAACCAATTTGATAATTGGAAAACCTAAGTTGACATTTCGGTTCATGTAGTCAATAGAAAATGTTTTTTGTCCCTATCTGAATCTGGTTTAACGAACTGGTGCACAAATTTCCATATAAGGTAGACTCAATCAACTAGTTGATTTTACTATCTAACGAAAAATGTAAACCCTTTTTAAGTCAATAGGTGATGAATGGAAAGATATTTGTTTTGATTAAAAAACAATAGATTTACATACCGATAAGCCTTTTCTATTTCTTCGTTTCTATTACGGGTCTTTTTAAGTTCGTCTTGTAAAACTTCAATCGTCTTGTTACCATCATTATGAACCTGTCAAGGTGAGGATGAAAAAAAATGACGATATAATTTATAATAGTTAGCTATTATTATTATAATTAAGGAAATATAAAAAAGAAATACTAATGAAAGATTCAGCTTCATCATTAACTGACTTTAAAACAAAAGAGATGAATCGTGTAAGAGAGAAATAAAAATAATAGGCAAGAGAAAAGAAAGATAATGGCATGTCAGAGCTTACCAAATCATTGCTCATCTTCGAAGATCTATTAGATAAAACTTGATAATCACTAGAATATGTGAAACCAACGAAAGGCAAGTGGTTGCCAGCGAAAGCTTTTGATGCGGGAAAATTTTGGGCTGGTTGTTCATTGCTTTCAAATTCGTCAAAATGACTGGTATCATCGTCACTTATCAATTCGGGAACGACGGGAGGAACACCTAAAATTAGGAGAGAAAAAACAGAGTTAATCAAAAATAGAAAAATAATCAAAATATGATTGAGATAATGTCACTTTCGGAGTTTGACTTTAAAAGTGAAAATAATGATAACTCACATTCACGTATATTGTCAAAAGTCCAAGTGTCATTTGCAAAAAAAGGATGTCTTTTAATGGCATCAACACCATCACGGCCTAAACGTTTTTCACGATCTTCCAAAAATGAACAAATTAAATGTTTGGCTTCTTTAGAAATATCAAAATCTTCAGGAAAACTAAGTGAATTTTTGTGGTCCATAATTTTACCATAAGTACCAACCAAGGAGTCAGCGTAAAAAGGCGTATCACCAATGAGAATTTCATACAAGAAAACACCGACTGACCACCAATCACATTCACGACCATAACAACGGCCACCTCCTTGAGATTCTAAGACTTCAGGTGAAATATAATCTGGTGTTCCTACGGCCGAGTCCCCACGGACCAAGCCATCTTCATCCATTCTCATACAAGCACCGAAATCGGCTAATTTAAGGTGACCATATTTGTCAAGTAACATGTTATCTGGTTTAATATCTCGATGAACAAATCCCATAGAGTGGATGGCATCTACGGCTAGGACAACTTCAGCACAATAGAATTTTGCCCACTTTTCTGGTATGTCATAATTGCTCATAAGGGTAACTAAATCTCCTCCAGGCATATAATCCATCACCATATACAGATATTTGCTATCCTGGAAAGCGTAATGTAACTATATGGGAAGAAGGAGAAAGAGATAAAAGTTAAAATGAGACATTGAAGGGGAAAAATCACAGAAAAAAATGAAAGATTTACAAGTACATCATATGATAACAATATGTGTGCATGTAATAATAATGGAACACAGGAATGAATCTGAATGAAGAGGATGAAGGTGATATAAAACAAGGAAACAATAATAGGGGCTTCTAAAAGGAAACGAAATTCCGGATAAGCCAAGTTAGGAGGTAAGCACAAAACCTTCGTTATGTTCACTCACAAAAGAAAAATTTTAAGCAAAATGTTCAAAACTAGTTAAAAACTAGAAAAAAAAATGGAAATCTTTCTCCTTCCTAACTAACTCTTTGATTAACACTATTTTGAAGATGTTTTCCCTTTTAAAGTCAATGCTAACCTTTACTATCCAGTCCGAGTTAGCATGAGCCATGATGAACCTTTCTTCCCAGAAGAAAACAGAGTCCCATCGTTTGATCATTTCAAATTTGCTAAGTAGCTTCATGGCGTAAACTTTTTTGGTGGCTTTATGGCGAACTAATTGTACCTCTCCAAAGGCACCTCTACCAATAGTTTTTATCACAGAATAATCATCAGGTTTCATTCGACAATTTTCAATTCTACCCGAGGCCTTTTCATCTATAAAATAAATAAAGAAAATGTATTAATGTATTGTAACATCATAGGTCGTTTAAAGTTTTTCTCCATAGCCACTTATGGCGATGATGACATTGATGATCAAATTTTTGACATCGAGAGCTGTTGGTCTTGTTAATATTAAGTACCCTGTTACTATTATATTATAACAAGATATTTTTTTATCTACATTTATTTATCAAAGTAAAATGATCATCATATATGCATCGTCATATCATGTGGTTGAGTTACTCGCCAAAGTTGACCAGCAAGAAAGCAATAATGAGCAAATAGCAGGTAAAACTTACATCTTGAAAGAAAACCTTCTATATTTTTGAGCCTACGAAGTGCAGGTTGGTCACAGTCAGTGACAACTGCTTGGACACAATCCTAATAAAATAAAAATGTAAAAGAATTAGAAATGAAAAACTAGGAATGAGAAAAAACATTGCAAAAAATACAAGAAAACAAGATATAAAAACAAAAAGAAAAAAGTGCTAAAATAGGCAAGATTTTTTCTTCTTCTTTCTGCTCTCTCTCAATTCTTGATTATTTTTCAATCTCTTACCAATAATCCGTCAACATTAAGCTCAGATCTAATGTTAAGTAAACAATCCTCAAGTTCTTGTAGCCGTATTCTCCTGTTTTCATCAATTACAGTATCCATTTTGATTTCACTTTACGGTAACTTTTCTTGGTAAGTTCCCTTTGCCTCTCACTCTTTTGACTTGCTTTTAATTCAAAATATAATCTGTTGATGTCTCCCTGGTCCAATCCACTTTACTCTTATCAGTTTTCTTGAGTAGTAGTTTAAGAATACCAAAGACACGCTTTACACATTTACATTGAAAAATTGTGGACAGATGAAGGAAAAACAAAATCAAAAAATTAACCAATAAACAGAAAAAGAAAGCACAGATAGAGGCAAAAAATAGTAGTAAATGATTATAATAATAAAGTAACGAAGCAAAAGAATGATGATGAGGATGAGAAAGAAAAAGGTAGAGACAAGAGAACTTGATGGAGTTGTAGTTGTAAGAAGTAATATGTATATATAAAAAAAATATGTTCAACTTTTAATATATGGTTCCAATTAGAAAAATAGAACGTTATAACGATATAAAAATCAATGGAGGAAGGTTAAACATTTCAATTGGATTAATCATTTTGATAACAAAAAAAAATTAAATCAACAATCAAAACAAAATTTTCACATTTTAGGATCTTTCTGTCTCTTCATCTAAGGTAAAATAAATAAAGTTTAAGCTCAACTGTTGAACAGTCACTGTCTTTCTCACTCTCAATAGGAAACGCCAGTTTTGTTAAGCAAGAGGAGAGAAAGATAACAAGCGAGGGAAATACAAACTATTTCAGAGTAGCTATAAAATATTGAATCGTTTACTGAAAATGGATTTCATTTAATCAACAGTTCAGTAATTACCCAATTAATTGCTTTCATGGAGCCACAATAATTTTCTTTATTTTCTCATCTTCTCTCCTGTTGATCATCATTTAATCTGATTTGATAAAAAAGGCTTCATTTGAATGAATTGATTGTTTCAAATCTGGTGTAAGATATTTTTTTATTGTTTAATATTCAACGCTCTATTAATAGTTTTAATTTATAATGAATGTTGATAGCTTGAAGCTGGCCATTAAAATTTATTTTACTAATTATTTCTTGTCTACTGATTGGTGTTAATTAGTCATTTCTCATGGGTAAAAGTAATTGGGCTTTTCGGTTGAAAAGGGTTTTATCGATTGTAATCTGATTCTAGTGAAAGTCAAGTTGATTTTTCACTATTTACAAAATTTTTCTCTAATTAAGGCTTTTATTCATTTGTGATGATTGATTACAATGAAATTATTCGATTAATTATTGATTTAATAAAGATTTGGTTTTTAACCAGAAAACCTGGTTTTACAGTGAGAATAGCCAAGTTTTTGCTCGGAAAATAGACGATAATGTGTGTGTTCACCAATTTTCTAATGGACTCGGTTTAGTGTTTATTTTAATTATTTACTTCAATTTGTGTCCCAATTAATTAGATTTGTTTGATTATTTTTTTTGTACAAAAATTGTACATAATGTCTGGAGAAACCATTGGTATCATTTATCCTCCGCCGGAGTTGAGAAGTAAGTATTTTGTTTCTCTTTTATTTTGCGCTCTCATCTGTTCAGTTTCCTTGGTTGAATATTTTTTTCCCCAATTAATCAATATTACTTTCGATTTTGTTTAATATATTTACAATTTACTTTTTGTTTTATAGACATTGTTGACAAGACTGCTAGTTTTGTTGCTCGTAATGGTCCTGAGTTTGAAACAAGAATCCAGCAAAATGAACAAAATAACCCGAAATTTAATTTTCTCAAAGCTGGTGACCCTTATCATGCTTATTATCAATATAAAGTCAAAGAATTTAAAGAAGGTTCGAAAGGCAGTGAAATATCAGCTCCACCTAGTACTGTTTCTAATTCATTCCAACCGGCTCAAAATCGGTCCATTCAACCTCAACAAAATAGGATAAATAAACAACTAGAGCTGTTTGCCGAAACTGCTTTTGTTCCTAAAGATCCGCCGCCAGATTTTGAATTCTCTGCTGAACCTCCTTCCATCTCAGCATTAGATTTAGATATTGTCAAGTTGACTGCTCAATTTGTTGCAGTTCATGGAAGATCCTTTCTCACTAACTTAATGAATAGGGAACAGAGAAATTTCCAATTTGACTTCTTACGACCACAACATGGAATGTTTGGTTATTTTACTCAACTTATAGAACAATACACTAAAATTCTCATGCCAGCTAAAAACTTAGTCCCTGATTTGCAAAAGGAAATCGCATCGCCAAGCTCCATATTGGCCAAAGTGAGGTATAGGCAAGAATGGGCCAAAATACAAGAAGCCGAGAAAAGAAGAGAACAAGAAGAAGCTGAAAGAGAAAGGATTCAATATGCCCAAATCGATTGGCATGATTTTGTGATAGTAGAAACGGTTGATTATCAATTACACGAGCAAGGTCTTTTCCCTCCTCCTACAACACCAGAAAGTGTTGGTTCGCGACTTCTGTTGCAGCAACGAATTGAAGAGCAAGGACAAGAAGCGGTGGAAATGGACGTTGATTCTGATGAAGAATTAGATGAAATCAGAAAAGCTGAAAAGGCAAAAGAATCTATGCCACCTCCATTGCCACCTTTACCTCCTCAATTGGATAATGTTGTCATTCGGAAAGACTATAATCCCAAAGCTAAGACTCAAGCTGCACCAGTTGCCGCAGCCACAAAAACAGCTGAAGCATGGGTTGTCTCACCCATTACAGGGGAGAAAATTCCTGCCGAAAAGCTGCAAGAACATATGCGTTACGGTCTTTTAGATCCACGATGGGTTGAGCAAAGAGAACGAGCTCTTCAAGAAAAGATGCAACAAGAAGAAGTTTATGCATCTGGATCAGCTATTGACATGAATCTTAAAGAATTAGCTGAAAGACGTAGTGATATTTTCGGTTCTGGTGATGAAGAAACTGCAATCGGTAAAAAGATTGGTGAAGAGGAAAGAAAGAAGCCAGAGAAAGTCACCTGGGATGGTTACACTGCTAGTATGGAAGCGGCAACTCGAGCTGCTCGAGCTAATATTTCAATTAAGGACCAAATTCAACAAATTCATCGTACCAAAGGACTTCTTCCTGATGAAGATAAGGAAAGAATTGGACCAACGTTGCCATCATCATCACAAGCTAATCAAGGTCCACCTGTATCATCAGCTATGATTCAAGCAATGTCAGGTCCACCTCCAACAACACAATCAATGTCAGGTAGACATCACCACCACCACCATCAACAACAACAAAAGATGGACCAACAACCTAATCAACCACAAATGCCAACTATGGTTAATCTAGTTAATCCGTTGACCGGTGGGCCTCGAGGCCAGCCTCATCCCCACTCACATCCTAGTTTACAACAACCCCATGTATTGACTCCTCAACAAGCTACACAGTTTGTTTTACCGCCAGGTGCTCAACCCAACGGACCTCCATTCATGATACCAACTCCTCAAATGATGATGGGGATGTATGGAATTACTCAGATACCTACAATGCCTCCTAATGAAGATCTAAACCCTAATTCTGTTTCCATGAGTATTTCACAAGATGATGAACCGCCATTCAAAAAGTCTCGAGAAGATAGCATGGTTCCTGAAGACGAGTTTATGCGTCGTTTCAATGGTCCCGTCACCTTCCAAGTCAAAGTTCCCGAAGTACCAGATAAACCTGAATGGAATTTACAGGGACAAACAGTTAATTTAACATTACCTTTAACTGATATGGTATCAGTGATTAAAGCAAAAATTCATGAGCAACTTGGCCTTCCGCCCGGTAAACAAAAGTTACAATTCGGAAGTACTTTTATTAAAGATTCAAATACCTTAGCTTTTTGTAATATTGGCTCTGGAGCCACTTTAACACTTGGTCTCAAAGAAAGAGGTGGTCGTAAAAAATAATTTATAAATTACATTATATTAATAACAACATTTGCATTAATTAACTGCATTGGTTAATTTGCTTGCTATCGTGTTTTCATCATCAATCATCTCCATTGCATTAGCTGTTAAGCTTGTACTTTTCAATATTAAACCATGGAACTTGACTTTCTTTGATAAATTTTTACATGTTTCATGATTTTCATCATCTAAATAACTAAATTCCTTTCCCATGTAATTCTCATATACTTCGAGTGGACGTTTTTTCGCGATATCTGAACGAACTTCATCACTGCAGCACCCATTATTGATATGTTTGATGACGAGGATGATTGACTCTTAAGTTTTCTCAAAAATTGAGCCATTCTCTTTAATTGAGCGAAATACAATTTGTAGATGATTAAGAAACCCTTCTCATACTGTCTTCTTTCACGTCCAATAATGAAATTAGTCAATAATTTATCATTTAATTATAGTGTTCCTATCAATTCCGTTCAATGGTTATGCGATAAAAATTTTAAAATCAAGTTTTTGAAACAAAAGGATCATAGAGTTAAAGCTACATGTATCAATGAGGTTCTTAGTGCCATTAAGATTATGAATTTCAAGACTTGAAAGACATCCTTTTTGCAGCGCGTTAACAGTTTACGCCACAAAGAACTAAGATACTTGAAATGATGAAAAAATCTTGATTGTTTTTCAAAATTTTAGTGGATTTGCTTCCCTTCTTGGTTTCCGTAATTGTTTTTGCTGTCCATATGTTTGTTCGAGGTGCAACACTTACAGTGTTTGTTATTTTTTAATATTAATTCAGTCCAATTCACCATTACAATTTTCACAGGTTGAATTTTCTGTGAGTATCTTTGAGTATAAGTGATCTTATTGATCAGTTAGACAAGGGCATTGAAAATATGCACAAAATGTGATAAACGGATGGCTAACTCAATTGTCAGTTAACCATCAACTTATCGAAATAATCGAGTTGCCATTCCATTCCAGTTTTCCATATAAGTAAATATAAAATACAAATTAAATAATCCATTTAATGCCATATAAGTAATAAAATTGATCTCAACGATTTTCAATCAACAGAATCTGTTGAACAGATTGAAACTTATCAACTTATTCAAACCAATATAATTTATTTCCTCTTTTATCTAACAGATGGAACTAAATATGATTTATTGAAATGTTTAAAGCAAATCCACCCAAATTCATCCAATTTTTTTAGCCTTTTCTTTCCAATAATAAACTTTGACAGTTTTTAGCTTAAAATATGCAAGAAGGTGCCCAATCAGCTCAGGCCAATACTAAAAGCACTCCTGAGGATCAAGAATGGGAACAATTCAAGGTAAGATAATTATATTGTCTATCATGGATACACTTTTTATAAACAAATCCGATTCTCGAGGAAGCTTAATTATTTAAAAGCAAAATTGCTTGCATTATGTTAAAAAATTCAGCTGTCAACGTTAAATATTTTTTATGACCTTTTACTCGATAGGCCAAGTATAATAAATCTTATGCGTCAAAAGAAGAGGAAAATTATCGAAGATCAATTTTTGAAAAAACAGCGAAAGACATTAAGGCTCATAATGAAGCGTTTGAAAGAGGTGAAAACACTTGGACCCAAGGAATCTACGAGTGGGCGGATTTGGTAAGTTATCCTTAACAATTGAAAGTTTCAATGCTAATCTTTCCCAATTGCCCCATTACAGACGTCCGAGGAGTTCAAAGCAACTCGTTGTGGCCTTCGAAGCTCTCCAAAAAAATAACAATATTAGTTTCCATTCTGAAACAATTTCGACCTCAAGCCATTCTGTATAAAATTAAAATAAAATATGTTATTACAAGCTATCTGGTAACCAGCAATTCAATGGAAAAGTAAATTGAAAAAAACTGGAAACTAGGTTACATAAAAAGTGATGATCAGTAGTGGAATAAGCAACATGAAATCGAGACCTTGATCAGTGTTAATTCACTGATTAATTCTAGTTTACTAGTTTAATGATACTGATCTCTGTTCATCCGATCTAAATTAAATTATCTATTAAATAATAATATCTAACAAAATATTGGCAATGATAAAATAGCAATTTGGTTGTCAACCACATAAACTCATTGATTTAAAATTTAAAGTTTTCTATCGTAACAGAATTTAGAATCTTCAGCCAAATCTTTTTAAGTTTCAACTGAGCAATATTAACTCACAATATATTGAGAATCAATCGTTTTTCTCGATTAATCTCTCAACAATTAAAACAATCTATTAATATTAAACTTTCAATGAACTAGTGTATTAAAGCTGTTTTTGGTACAAAAGTGATGAAGCTGTCAAGAGTAATTTCAATTCACACCTTAACAGGGAAACTTTATCATATTTTTAATCTGATTTTACATTATTGGGTTACAATTGTGGGTCAATTAAAATCAAGTTAATTTCATTTAAAACATGAACAGCTGATGAAAGTAGCATTTTTGGTTTTTATCAATTTTGGTAAACTTTGTGACATTTTTGAATGATTGTTAATGATTTCTGGTCAATGATTGCTAATTTTTACGATTAATCTAGAATATTTGGACAGATTTAAGTACTCAATATGTTGGCGAATGAATTTATTATTGAATCAGATTCAAATTTTGTTCAAAATGGCAAAAGTCTTGATTGATGGTGTGAACTGATTTAAAATGTTAGCTTAGTTTAAATTAAATTGAATTACAATTGTAGTAACATTCAGTAATTTGAAATGATGATGAACCAATGGCGAGGACACAATGATGCTTAGACACACCATTGGAATGTAACCGGTGAAAAGATCAATTATTAATAAATAATGGTTAATAAACTGAGTTGGTGATAAACTATGAAAGTGAATATATATTAATGTTAATAGACATTAGTCGTTTACATTAAATTGCTGACTTCACCGAATTATACCGATGAGTAAACTAAGTTCAAGGTTTAATTGATAATTTTCTCGATTTCATTGATGTTCTTGAATAGCTGTTGGAATTTGATTTCAATAATGAAATTCTTGCTCATTCTGAAGCTATTAGTCTCTCAGGAACCTCTCAGCCAGTATTCAAGCTTTACCTATGCCAAAAAAGATCGAAAAATTAAATGTGTTTGAATGTCTTAAAGTTTATTATAATTATAAGGGAAGGAAATTATGAGGACATTACAAAATTCAATGATTGAAAATTGATTGAAAATTATCAAGTTATCTTTAGTATTTAGATGCAAGACCTTATTTATGGAGTCTCTGACTCATGTTCTGGTTCTGGTTGTCCAACATTCTTTGGTAAGTGATTTCCATAATTGGTTATCTCGTGCCTTCATCTGGATCAATGATATAATCTTTATTAAAGTAAAAATATACACAAAAGATTTTCCACTTCTCTCGCTCGCAGACTTTATATCGATTTTTATGTCCATAATCAATAAATTCTGTAGTCTCAACAAGAGTTCCAAAACATTTCGTCCACGAATTTTTTTCAACTTTTCGTTATTTTTAGCATTATTTGTAGGTTGTATTAGGGTACTTCTAAAATCTTCCTGGGCTAAATTGAACTGGGTTCTTTCAACATTGTATGCATATTACGAGCAAATTGATCCAATCATAGATTTATCCAACATTAGTTCATCGAAAAGCATGAAAGCATTCTAGGTTAGGGAATGTTATGTTTTGGTAGTGATTTCTTGTACAGCCTAAATGGTTTGTTTGAAAATGTAATTCGTTTCCATCGTCAGTCATCTTTCTATCTTCTGATCCACATAGACCAGCATTATTAATGAGAACATCAATTTTCTCTTATCTTTGATTGATTTCTAAGACAGCCTGTTTGATTGAAGTGAATGAAGCAAGATAAAGCTCAATCACGGCGATATTTTCATCGTTTATCGACCTCGTTCCTTTGTTTAAATAACTTCAATTTAGTTTTTGTTTCATTTGTTATTTGTCTTTTGATTTCTAAACATAACGTTTACTACCCTACTAGTATTTTGAAGATTATACTAAGTTACTTCTCCCTAGTATAATCTTTATAATACTACTAGATTTATTAAGTACCCTACTAGTATTTTGCAGATTATACTTGGGTACTTCTCCCTAGTATAATCTTTATAATACTACTATATTAATTAAAACTAAGAATTATTTAAATACTAGGGTAATTCTAAGTTGAAGTACCCTAGTATTTTGTAGGTTGTATGAGGTACTTCTTCTTTCGAAGTACCCTATTATAATCTTTATAGCATTTATCTTTATAACATTAGCAAAGCAAGAAATTCCAATTTTTAGCCATTTATTCCGATATTAGAGCATGCACGACGGGTTAATTTATGTTTCCTGCAAATCTCTTGAATGTAATATATTTTAACAAGGATAAATTGACTATTTTCTTACGGTTAACTTTGTCAGTCTTGTTATTTGAACTGATTCAATAAAGTTTCTCTCAAAATCTCCATGTGAAAATTCAATATTATAAAATTGACACTTTTCAATACAATGTTTATCTTGTTTTTCATAAAGTCTGAACACCTGACATGAAGTATCGTTGGTCAAATGAGATGTTTGCACTAGCCACAGAAAGGCAATTGAAAGGCAATGCAAAACTATACTTTACTTATTTTGATTGCAAGTGTATAAAGTTTTTACTGTAGAAAAATGAATGTCAATGGTGAATATATGAATTTTAATAAGATATAAATGAAGATATATACAGATAGAGATAAATTTAATACAAAAGTTTAGTCGCCATTTGAGTCCGGTGAATCGTCAGCACTATCAGTATTTGATATGCGACGAGCAAGTTGTTGAGGTGAGCTGCTGGTACTCTTGGATTTGTTCTCCATCCCATCGAACCGAACCATATTATCTTTAGGTGATTAAGAACATTAAATGTCTAAAATATAAAAATTAGGATCAACTGTCAGAAATTGTTACATTAATAGCCGTTTTTATGCTCTATGAGCTCTATGCATAACTCTAGCGTTCATGCTCTTTTGATGAAAAATGTAGGTTGCATTGACAATAGCAATGTGTGATGGAGCTGGTACTTGGAACAAAAATTCCGCAATATAAGTTTTGTGCTCTGCAAATTCCTGGCGTGTCAAATCCGAGATGAAGTAACACAAAATGTCTCAGGATTATCTTAAAAGTGCGATGTAACCAACGGTTGACACTCGATGCCAGACAAACGAATATTGCAGCTATATAAATAAAGCTTCACAAGTGTTAAAAACATAAATCTAATATGTCGGAAATCAAGCAAAAGCTCATATGTTTTCATTAAAGTTTTGAATTGCAGGTTCAATTCCAGTCCAAAGTTCGTAAAAGTTAGAGTTAGTTGGGATTGGATGTTTGATTATCACACCAAACCTTGCACTTTGTACATCATCACGAAAAAGATTCACAGCACTTTCACAGCAGATTCAAAGTCATGTTTATTCATTGCGGTATCAGATGCAGGCAAAGATAACCAGTCCGACATTTCTCCAATTAAATACAAATCTGCTATCACAAGTTCCTCTAGAACTGGATTAGCTATAGCATTCAATTTCTGAAGATGAGATGAGGATGTTGAGTTATCAGTTGTTCATCTTCATTCATTTCCGTGTCAGTGGCACTATTGTTGATCCAGTTTAAGCAGAAGATTCAGAAGGAGATGTTTCAGAATGGTACTCTTGTATATAACACATATTATAAATATCATTTCCAAGTGATATCTGCACATCTGGGTATCTGGTTCTTAGAAAATGCAGAATTGATTGTTTGTTTCGTTTTCTCACGCGTCCACTCTTTCTCTTTCTTTGCATTTTTCAAGATGACGCGACAAGTAGAACACCTTTCCATGGTGATAACTGTAGAAAAAGCATAAATACAATCAAGTGTAAGAAAAAATGAAATTATATTAGTATTGAATTGAAGAACATATTCATTTAATTGCAAAATAGTTACCTTTTGAATTAAAAGAGAAGAATTGAATCAAGAAGATTGATAATTTTATTAAAATACCATACTGTAATCATTTTCGCAAAAATTTAATTTCTAATACCAAAAATAAAGGTCCAATTTGTAAAAAAAGTTTCCTACACTTTTTTGTTTCCCAGGCAAACATTGAACCACGCTTCCTCACCCCTTAATTAATCATTAAAAAGTTTTCTGTGTCTGGACAAAATTTATCCAGACCCGGATAAGTTACCCAGACCTTGACTTTTTATAACGTCTAGTTAGAGATCGGCAGGATCGGCGATTTTCAAGCTCGATCTTCGTATCGAAAAAAATTAAAAGATAGAGCCCAAGATCGACCAAAATTAAGAGATCGATCTTTCAATTTTTTGATTTTCCGTACAACCGATGACTCAAATATTTGAGTGAAAAACAAAATCATCAAAAATTTATCAGTTTTAGGGTTATTTTAGTACTCGGATTTATAAAGGTTGATCTCAATCAGATCGTAAGTTCAATAGCTCGATTTTTGCTCTTTTTGATTTTTGATCTTTCAAAGATCGAAAGATCGATCTTTCGAGTACGTCATCTTTTCAGTTCGGTAAGGGTAAACGAGAACCCGTCAGCTCACTTTTCAAAGTTTCAGCTAGCTGGAAGGAAAGTACCACCCCTCAGAGCAGACTCGATATTCGATAATTAAATGATATAATCGTATGAGCTAAATCTAATTAGGATGTATTTAGATTATTTGATGCCAGTTTAAGATAGATTATTCTAGGTTAAATCAGATTTGATTTAATTAACGAATATTGAGTCAGATCTGCGAGGAGCTGATACTTTCATTCCAGCTAGCTGAAACTTTGAAAATGGAAAAGTGAGCTGACGGGTTCTCGTTCACCCTTACATTCCGTCCATTCCTACTACTAGTGTTTATCGATGATATGTACCAACACGTTTTATCGACAAATATTAAGTTGCAGATCTCTAGCTATTTTGATCACAGAATGGCGAAGGTTCAACGGAAAATTGAAGGGATCTGTTGCACAGAAACAGAGAATTTTATTCCTTAAGTGCCTTTTCTGTTAGATATCAAAAGTTATATCAGAGAAATAAGTTTTATGAATAAATCTGATTCCATAATTAAACAAAAGGCGATCGAAGTTTTCACCTTGACCTCGATCTATGCCAAAAGAGTAAGTAACATATAGTAAATACAATTATATAATACATGGAATGGTTAGAAAATTGAACAAAATGATTTCAACTAATGAACCAATCATTTGCAGTTAATGCTTCTCTCGGTGGACTCTTGTTTAGTCTTCAATCGAGTATCATTCAATATGCCAGATATTGATCATAAATTTTACCTTGTTGAAGGTGTAAATAAATCACTTGAATAACCTTTTTTGTGTTAAAAAAATCTAAAAATCTACAACTTTTCTGAAAATTATTTTCCACCTAATCTGTGTTTTCCTTTGTACGTGTTGTAAAATGAATAAATCAAGTGGAATCACTTATTAAGCTAATGTTACAATAGGAGTCACTGTGTCATGGTCAAACTAACGGAACGATACAAGGATTCACATTAAAGTTACAATGAACAACAATGGCCATAGCTTGATTCCATAGATACTTTCAAACTTGATTTCAGTTTCGATTTGATTTTGAATTAGCTTGAAATGATCATTCCATTACAATGAACAACTATTAATTGTGCATCACAAGCCTTGAACCTGAAATGTCAACTAATATCCATTAACAAATATCTTTTTATAAATGAAACAAGAGCTTAATCATAATCCATAATTCTGTCTATTATGATCAACTAAATTGATCGGAACTTTGGATCTATCATTCTGACCAAACAATTTTGTCGTCTCGACTCTAAACTCAACCCAGCTCAATCGCTTATTGAAGAGCAGAATAAAAACACAAAAATGTGATTAAAATTTAAAATCTGTTAGCACCCAATCAGTGATAATGTATCTGATCATGGGAGGGTTAATTGACAAAAATAAATGCTCATCAAAGTAGCTAAATTGGATCATTATTTAACCTATTTAATTAAGAGACATCATTTGATCAATCAAAGGAGAAGAGACAAAATAAAAACAATTTTACTCGTTCTCTATCAATCTTGATTGTGATTAATTTGATTATCAATCAATCAAATAATTTATTCAGATTCATCAATTGATCAAAGCTTCATATCTCGGTGATTTAATTGTTTTTCATTTATTCATTTAACTTCACATTTTGAATCGTGCTAAACACAACCAAGAAAAAATTGGTTGATTAATCTTCAACAAGACTCAGTAAAAGTGGTGAGTTGGAGCAACCTCTTTTGTCAATTGTGATTAATTGTCCTCATATTTAAGAATTTAATTGTTAAATCGATTAATTGAATCATGATTGATTCAAATTATCCGTCATCAAGCATACAAACTGACATGGATCTGGTCCCTGCCAGTCTACTGTATGCATCTTCACTTGATCTGTTGTCCAGCCATCATGAAGTTTATGACTATGGTGACTTTGAGAATCAAAATAATCTCAACAATATTAATTTGACTGATTTGTCCTTTCCCGAGTTACCTAACTTTAATAATAACTTCAATAATTGTCAATATTCAAACAGTCAGTCAAACCACTACAATCTAACCTCGTTCAGCAACCAGTTGGTGGAAAGTGATGGACCAACTTTAATTCCTACTGAAACAACAATCTCAACTTCATCTTCTGTATCGACTTGTTCATCATCATTTGACCATCATTATCACCGACCACTTTCCACAACAAGTCTTGACTCGTTGGATGCTTCACGATCAATTGATGGCTGTAAACGCGATCTAATCAAAGCAACACTCAACTTTGCCATCCAAAGCCGTAGACGGTCTTTAGGTTTAGGTGAGATTGAACTGAGCCAAGCTAAAAATCAAGATTCTCGTCCCTCAAGCTGGACTGATGAAGCCGATGAAAAGAAAATTTCTCGCAGAGAAAGGAATCGAATCGCTGCTAGAAAATGTCGGAAAAATCGTAAACTGAAATTCATTGCACTGAATAAGGTAAGCTTCCTAGATTCATCTACTTCATCTCGTCATCTAGTCGTTTTTTGAATTTAAGTTATTTGGTAGTAAACAAAAGCAAGAGACTTTATTTTCACGACAAAGATCAAAAGGCAATTTTTATCACAAAATTTTAGTTCAACATCGGAATACAGTTCATTGACTAATTCACTATTTTGAATTTCCTTTTCAGGCAAAGGAGAATCTGGATAACGCCAATACCAATTTAAGAGAGGAGTTAAAAAAATTGAAAAGGGAAACTGGACAACTTGAAGGTCTGTTGACCTCTCACCAATCTCAATGTTATTTGATTTCCTGGTCCTTTCAACCAACTCTTAATTCAACAGAATCATCATGGTCATCATCTCCTCAGCTGTTTTATCAATCACAATCTTCGTAATCTTCAACATAATCATCACGTGCTAATTGCGCAAAAAATAAATTGAAATATATTTATTAGTTGTTTTCTTACAAATAAGATAAAATGCCGTCCAAGACAGCTTCATTTTGTATTTATTAATCTAATTGTAAAATGGATTCACCATTTGATTTTATTCAATAAGTTTTTGGCATTCAAATATGAATAACTCAAGAACTCATAATAAGCATAATACTTAGCATCATGCTCTAACTCGTTTCGTGAGTTTTTGACTAAAAAAATAGTGAAATAACCAAAAGTAATCGGCCACGAACTTTCCATATGTATTTAAGATTGATGGTCGAAGTGATTTTCCAAAATTAAACTCATTGTAATATGAACTTGGATGTAGTTATTGGATCACAGCAACGATATTTCAATAAACTGATCGAAACAATGAAAGAGAAGAAAAAAATGGAAAAATTCAGTTTTAACATTTAGTTTATTATTGGATGATTGGACGTTGAAAGAATACATTTCTATTGAAATTAAATGCTTAAACATTGAGTTTGTCAATAATCATGCAAGATAAATGTCACAGTTATATGTTATTTAAGATGTTAGATTTAACCGAAAAGACCTGAAAAGGCACCAGTTAAAGCACCAACAGCTTCACCTGCTGCATCACTAGCGGCTTTAAGTCCATTGCTGGCCATTTCACCAGCCTTTGAAGCTCCATAAGTAATAGCAACAAAAGTAGCATCAACATTATCAGAAACTTTCATAGCAGGCCCAATAGCTGCTTTTACTGCATTTTCAACTATTTGATCAGCTATTGAAGCTTCATCAGAAAGTGAATCTCCTTTAGCCCCAGCAGACTTAACCGAATCATTTCCTAGTCCATTGGTACCTTGACCAATGGCACTACCAAGTTTAGCACCAAGTAAAGATTGAGCAACACTTGTAACCATGTTAGCTTGGAATGCAGCAATGTCACCAATAGCACGAACTGCATCACCAGTCATGTTAGTAAAAGATTCAACGGCACCTGCAGCCACATTGGAACCAGCACTAGCCAATTTACCAGCTCCATCAATACCAGAACTAACAGCATCACCTAATTGTTTTACTGCCTGAACAGCCATTGAAGTATTGATTTTGTTACCAATTTCTTCACCTCCGACAACAGCACCAAGTGCATCAAACTCCTCATCAACTGCTGAGCCAATATCAGATGCGACATCACCCAACTGGTTAGTTCCATCTTTGACAAAACTACCAAGAGGAGCTAAACCAAGTTCACTGAGAAGTAAATTAGCCATTCGACCAGCTCCTTTAATGGCACCAGAAGCCATGTTACCGTTATATGCAGCAATGTCACCAATAGAACGAACTGCATCACCTGTCATGTTAGCAAAAGATTCAACGGCCTCTGCATCACCATTAGAACCAGCATCAGCCAATTTACGAACTCCATTGATACCAGAAATGACAGCATTACCTAACTTGGTTTCGGCATCAACTCCACCAATACCTTTACCAGCATTAGAAGCAACTGATGAGACCACATTAGAGGTAATTTTGAATGTGTCTAAGAAGTGACGACCATGGACATTGCTTTGCAAATCGAAGTCGGGTGATTGTTCATTGCAAACTACTGATGAAGCGATGAAGAGAGAGAAGAGGATAAAGACTGGAATTGGTTGCATATTGATGGCCAAGTTAGGAACTTTGTTTTTACACAATAATATAGCTGAATTCATTGAGTTTGACGGTACTTTTTATTTTCTTTGCTCATCTAATTCTCGATGGTGTGATAGATGAATATACGTGTAATGTCTAATTGTAATCTTATCACATCGATGAGAATTGGATGAGCAATGTAAATTAAAAGTACCGTCAACTCAATGCATTCAATTGTATAATCGATTTGATACTTGAGGATAATCAAATCCAAAACTTTTAATATTTATATGCTATTTAACTCACTATTTGCTCAAACAAATTTTCTTATTTTTTAACGTCCAATTTAAACAATGAAATATTTCATTTCACAGTTTTGATTGATTTTCATTATTAAATCGAATAGTTAGAATATGATATTATATTGTTTTAATTTGACATAAAATTCAGACAATTTGTGTGTAGAAGTATATAAGTGTAAGTGTATAAGTTTTGTGTTTGGTTATCATCAAGTTAATTTACCTCAAGTATCAAATAGTCAAATATTTTTACAGCATTTCTCGGTGAATTTCGTCGAGTTTTCACTACCTTTAGTCAAATTTTCATTAGATTTAGTCAACCCGGTAGAGGGCGAGTTAACTCAAGATTTTTTGTCATTAGCTTTAGTCAGTTGTCATAAGATTTAGTCAAGTTTGCAAAAGGATTAGTCAAAGCCCTTTCTCTTGTTGGACTTACAATTTAAAAGCTTCTTTTTGAGTCAGCAAAATTGTTAGCAATTTACACACAATTTAGAAGACAATTTCAATTACGAAAAAAATTATAAATAAATTTAACATGAGAAATCGAGAAGCAAAATTTGAACTATCGATAATTTTTTAGGTGGAAAAGACATCTTACAAATTCGAAAATGAATTGAAACTGATTTTGCTAATTCAAAAAGAAGCTTTTAAATTGTAAGTCCAACAAGAGAAAGGGTTTTGACTAATCCTTTTGCAAACTTGACTAAATCTTATGACAACTGACTAAAGCTAATGACAAAAAATCTTGAGTTAACTCGCCCTCTACCGGGTTGACTAAATCTAATGAAAATTTGACTAAAGGTAGTGAAAACTCGACGAAATTCACCGAGAAATGCTGTATTGCTATTTATGCTTTCAATGCTAAATCTTTGAGGGTTAATTTTTTCTCTTTTTCGCTGATTTTAATATAATTTTGTGACTCTTCATCTGTAACCTAACTCCCGAATACTACAGATGTACGGTCAAACTTCTAGTCAGGGGCAAAAAGTTAGTCTAACATTACCTTTAACTGATATCTTATAAGTGATTAACGCAAAAATTCACGAGCAACTTGGCCTTCCGCCCGGTAAACAAAAGTTACAATTCGGAAGTACTTTTATTAAAGATTCAAATACCTTAGCTTTTTGTAATATTGGCTCTGGAGCCACTTTAACACTTGGTCTCAAAGAAAGAGGTGGTCGTAAAAAATAATTTATAAATTACATTATATTAATAACAACATTTGCATTAATTAACTAAATTGGTTAATTTGCTTGCTATCGTGTTTTCATCATCAATCATCTCCATTGCATTAGCTGTTAAGCTTGTACTTTTCAATATTAAACCATGGAACTTGACTTTCTTTGATAAATTTTTACATGTTTCATGACTTTCATCATCTAAATAACTAAATTCTTTGCCCTCGTAATCCTCATATACTTCGAGTGGACGTTTTTTCGCGATATCTGAACGAACTTCATCACTGCAGCATCCATTTATAATATGTTTAGCGAATTGTGAAATTCCGTAATTGCAATGGTTTTTGAGCAATTGAAGTTCCCAAAGTTGAGTTGCATGGGCATTACAATATTCAGGATCTTCCACATGAGGCATGAATAATCCAGTTCCAGCACTTTCGCAATCTAAGAGAATATCAGCTCGAGGATGTTCAATAAACATTCGTCTCACAAATGACAATAATGCTAATGTTGCAGCATCATTTGTTTGAAGGGAAACTGATGTACATCGCTTCATAAAGGCCACAACTCGAGGGAAACTTGTTTTTCTTCGCTTTATTATCATAGTGTCCAAACACTTCAATAAAACTATTATCGTTTTTGTAGGTATTGACAAATCGATATCAGGTAATATTTGATATAATCGCGTATAAAATCGTTGATGATCTATGTTAAGAGCGCTTCCTTCTTCAGACAGGATCGAGAAAACTGTTTGACAACTGTTGAGAGTCTGTACAGCATCCAAGAGATCGGATTTGATCAGCTTGAACAGAATATTGATTAAATCATCGAAAAATTCAACGTTGATTAAATGGCAAAATTTGGATAATCCTTCAAGAACTGGTGACAACAATTCTCTGAATCTTGCTTTTTTCACTTCCTCATCACTTAAATCTAAAATAGTTCTTTTCAAAATTCTGAAATATGACAGAAATACATGATCCAGAATCTTTGTGTGATGTTCTAATCGTCTTTTGTAACTTTCTGAAGCTTCTGCTTCGAGCAAAACATTATCCAGTTTTCTCGAAGCTTTCAGTCGTCTTTTAGTTTTCCTGGACATTTTATCAAGCTCTTTCCTAACCTGGTTCATATCTTTCTTCTCCTGTCCTTTCTTCTCAACTTCTTTGATTTTCAGCTCCAAGAATACAGCAAAGACTTGAGGTCGAACAAACAATCCACACGCTTTAATCAATTTTTCTATCTCTTTGACAGCATCTAGTGATACTTCCCCCAATTTGTCCTGACGAAAAAGAGTTCCAAAAGATGTACATACTCTATCAGCAATGGCTTCATGTTTAGATAGCGTCATAAAAGGGACTAATGTTTGGATTATGTGATTACGACAGTTGAAGTGAGGATGAGTAACAAGTAAATCGCAAAGACATTTAACACCGACAGCAGCAATTCGTTCTCTAGCTAGATCCGTTGAAAGTATATCACGATAAAACGAAGATGATTGACTCTTAGGTTTTCTCAAAAGTTGAGCCATTCTTCTTAAACGGGCAAGATACAATTTGTAGATGGATAAGAGACGCGTCTCATATTGTCTCAGACTTATTGTTGTTTTCTTAAAGCGCTTCTTCTTGTTTGATTCTTCTTTAATTTTTTCCGAAACTCGATAACCAGGAATCAAGTCTTTGAAAACCTCCAATATGGAAAAGGCTACTAGCTTTTGTCCAGTGATGAAAGTTAATCGAAAGGCTTCAGAATCTTCTTTCACGTCCAATAATAAAATGAGCCGTCGTAAACGAGATAGATTCTTCTCCGGGCGACCCAAGATGGTTGAGCATGTTCCGGCAATCTGATCCTTAAGCAGTTCAATGGTTCGCTCTCTTTTATTTAAGCAGGCCAAGAAATCATCTTTTAAGGTCACTTTTGCTTCCATCCTTGAGTGTTGAAAGCACGAAACTTATAAGTCACAGTATATATTAAATTAAGCAAATTATAATAAAGTAACAATTAACAAACAAAAATTTCAATCAGTTTCCAAACAAACAGGCTTAACTTACAGTAAAACGTGAAAATCATGTGGTTTTTTGTTGCTACTGGCAACCATTGACGTGTTGGAAATTTAAATTCATTTATCTGAATGAAATCTTCAAATTATTATTACATTCTCAAATAAATCTTGTTGTCAGTAATTTGCAATAATTTACAATCATTTCGTGGTTTAATGTTTGATTTTCGTTACTGAATCAGCCAAAGCGTCATACTTTATCAAACAACTCTAATCAAAGGGCGGCTCTAAATATTTCTTATGAGTGAAAATATTCCACTTCATTGTTTACTCGTAAAAGTCTATTAGATTGCTAGTTTAGGAGCCAATTTAATTATTCTCGAAATTGAAAATCAGGATTTTCTTTCTCTAAATTGTAAAAATATTGGAACTGTAAGAGGATCATCGCATATTTCAAGCCGATTTGTACCTTATCTATGATGATAAGTACATTATTGTACGATGTATTTACAATAAAAGTATGGAAATATTGATTTGCCAATAACTGATTAACATTAATTCCATCATTTTCTAGATTTAAGCTGCAATTATTCTTATGTAAATAAATTGATTCATATTGTTTGAATATTGTATCTAGCGCCATAAGTTCAAAGATTTGTAAGTCATCTGTTTTATCTGCCAATGAAACCAGTTTTGAAATTAAGTAAACTAAATCTGTGTTTATCTGTGAAATAATTTGTTAAAATCTTTCTATTTTGCGTTATTTATTTATTTGGTGGAACTTCAGTTTTCAATGTTACTAATTGGCTTAACTGGTGGGATCGCCTCAGGTAAATCAACAGTGTCTCGTTATTTGGTCGAGAAAGGTGTAAAGGTTATTGATGCCGATTTGATTGCTCATCAAGTTACTGAGCCAGGAACTCCAGCCTGGAAAAAAATCAAAGATGAATTTGGATCCTCTATTTTAACCGAAGAGGGAGCAATCAATCGTGATGAATTGGGCAAAATTATTTTCCAAGACCAAGAAAAACGCAAATTGTTGAACAGGATCACTCACCCTTACATTCAACGAGAAATTTTCATGCAAATTCTCACAGCCTTCATTCATTTCGAGCATTATGTGGTTCTTGATCTACCCCTTCTTTTTGAGGTGTCTAAATTCACTAACCTCTTCCACAAAATTATTGTCGTTAATGTAAATGAACAACAGCAAATCGAACGTCTTAACAAGCGAAACAATTACAGTGCAGAAGAAGCTCAACTTAGGATTTCTAGCCAAATGCCATTGAGTGAAAAGTGTCGATTAGCCGATTACGTTATTGATAATGATGAAACCATAGAGAAGACGAAAGAGCAAGTTGATTCCATTTTAAATGAACTGAACACTTCAAAAGCTTATTTGAAATACCGTTTTCTCCTTCTGTTCCTGTTATTCAATTTATTACTCTTCATCTACGTATTCATCAATCGTTTATCCAGATTTGTTAAATCATTCCAATAAGGTTTTAATGTCCATTTCCTAAATTATAATTTTGCCATTATGGCAAAATTCCATTAAATAGTAGAATTTTTTTATCATGAAAAAATATTTTAATTTGTTATATTTCTCATAAAAATTACATATTTACAAATAATTTAACGAAACTTGTATCTTTACAAAAGCCTCACAGTTGTCAGTATTATGCCTCTGAATCAACCAGCTGTTTTAACAAGAATAACGCATTTAAAGATCTTTCGATACAGTCTTTATCTGAGTCTTTCTCGGTCACATCAATAAGCCATTTCTTGAATTCAATAAGGTCATTTTGCATGTATTCCAATAAGTAAGTTCTGGGAACTGAAATAAAGATCATACATAAACAGAAGATGATAGCCTGGCGAACAAAGCTGTAAGGAAGAAAACGAAACAAAGAAGTTAGTCAACAAATTCTGAAAATATTCAAACAAATTTAATTGGCATACCTTTCAACATGATATCTGAAAGCCCATAAAAATTCAATCAGAGATTTCCCCATTCTTCGAGTGATAGGAGCCTGTGATGATGATTCTAAAATGATTCCGAGAGTATAGAGTAATCGTCCAAGAAGATAATAGTCTTCACCGACTAAATTGAAAGTAATGTTAGGACTATCGTGGTGCTTCATCAACGGGAAGAAGAAATGACCAGAAAATTGAATAAATTTGTTTACATAAGTATTTTTTGTCCGTGGTTTAGAGATGATTTTAGTTTTACTCATGATTCTGTCTTCAACGACAGTTTTCCATTTTGCTTCGGCTATCACAATATCATTCGGTATGACTTTAGTAATTAACTGAGTATCATCGTTCATCTTGCTGTCTTCCTCGCAGCTGAATTTACAAATTTTTTGACTGGCCATGGCAAGGGTTTCTAATATCAATAGTCGCCTTTCAATATCCAAGTTGTTGTCATAAAATTGTCCAGTTAAATAAGTAGCTACAGTGATTGGTGAAACTGTAAGTAATTTGACTAATGCATCGCGTCTTAAGGTAACAAAATCAGGTGTCTCGAAGGTATCTTGAAGATTCAACAATGAGATAGCAAAGTCTTCTGCATAATCTTCAATCATGGATGCATTTTTATCAATGATTTCCATAGTCGACTTCAAACAAATTTGATTCCAATCGCAATTTTCAACATCTCTTAATCCAGAAATACAGTCTACTACATAGATTGGTTTTTTCGTCTTGTCAACTGGAATATCATTTGATAAATCATAAGGCGTAAGGTCATCTTCATCATCCTCTTCGTCTTCTTCCTCGTCATCAGTAATGCTTTTAGTACTCAATTTGCTCATTGAGATATCAATATCTTCATTTTTCATTGTTTTGTCAGTATCAATCGTGTGAGGCTCAGTTCCATAAAGTTCCATAAGAGTGATAACTTCTGGAAGCTTTTCAATGTTGACTTCAAATTGAGGTCCTTCCGATTTAAGAATCGATAAAAATAACTTGCTTACATAGAGCCCAGTGAATCTTATTTCAGGTAGTACACTGAGAAGATAAATTTCAGTGGCATGTATCACGCAATTAAGAAATTTATTCATAGTTTGCTTGGGTAAATCTTTAGGTCTCAAATATTTTGCCGAGATCGCAAGACCACAACAGATGTAAAACTGTTGTTCAAAAGATCTATGTTTCACTGCACTTCCATTACTCCAAGCTGACAGTAAGTTGTCTAAGGTTTTAATGAAAAGATCGGTTGAAATATTGGCCAAATATCCAATTAAGTTGATAATGAAGGATTTATTTTCGTAATGATTACCGAGGATGAATTTTTCGGTAAACAGGTAATTTATTTTCGCAGATTGCAATGGAGCATCTTTCAAAATCCATTGTGCCTGATTTGGATCGGAAGCAAACATTAAAATATGACGAATGATTCCTTCAACATTTCTATCACTTTGGGAAATTATCAATTTATGACCAATCCGACGCCAAATGAAGTCGTTTGCACAATTGTTCAATACAAGCGAAGTGAATTGCTTCCAAACAATATCACTATAACCAGAAGAAGCGATTTTTCCAATTAAATTACAGAAGAAATCAACTCGACAATCTTTCTCTTTTTGTATACGTTTGTGGATTTTACAAAAAACAACAAAGATGATAGAACACAATTTTGCAAAATAATTCACTGGAATAAAGGATTGTGGGGTCTTTAATTGCATCTTGTTAGCAACATATGAAGGAACATTGATTATACATCTAATCATGTCATCATCAACTAACTTAGAAAAACCAGCAGATGAAGTTCCTTTTTCAACAATTTGAAGAAATGTTTGGACAAGATGTTTTTTACGGAAAATAAACTGATTTAGAAGATGACAAAGTTCGTCTCGTCGATGAGATTCATCACAGCTGATCAATTGGTTACAAATTATTGGCAAAAGATTAATCTTTTTCTTCAAAATAATGTCCTCTAAAAGTGCACGATGACCCTCGACCAATGTAGAAGGTTGGTCCAATTTGATGAAAATTAACTTGCAGCAATTGAGATAATCATTTTCTTGCAAATCAGTAACTGAAGTAAAACGAAAGTCTTCAAGTGCATCCCAAGATATTCCAGGAGATGAAGATAATGTTTGAATCAGTGTTGACCACATCGTTGAATTTTAAACCAAATTAACTTGAATAAACTTGAAATGCGTGATAAAATATAATAACAATGAACTCAATTCGACATAAACAGAAACATAACCAAGTAAAAGCGAAATGAAATTCATTGGAATAAGTTGATTTTCATATTGTATCAATAGATGTCACTAAACGTAGACCAAGACCTAACCGGTTCATTCAAAAAATTGCTTAAAGTTTTGAAATTTTCGATATTTTTGAGTTTTCTTTCATTTCTCAGAATAAATTAATTATTTTATTTTATTTACATCCATTATCTATTAAAATAGACACACTGCTAATACATTTAATTAATCACGAAATCCGACTGAACGGAAATGTTTGAAGATGACAATGATAATATTTGGCTATTGGAATGAAATAAACATGAACATAGATTTCAAGTCGAGTTTTGCAATTTAATTATTACTTATTGGATAATGGACGAAATAAGCGCTTACTTTTGCATGATTGAAAAAAAACATAAATTGATATCACAGTAATTTAAACATTTAACAGATTTTTATTGAGGTGAAGTTTAACCGAACAATTTACCAGCAACAACACCAACGACACTACCAGTAACATCACCAGCAACCTTACCAGCGACTTTACCAACTCCACTTCCAACAGCCTTTACTCCACTGTCAGCCATTTGACCAACCTTTGAAGCTCCACCAGCAAGTAAACCAGCTTTAGCACCAGCAACTTTACCTAAACCATTGGTAAGAGATTCACCAACATTACCGACACCTTTGATTGCATTAGCTTTAAGACCGAAACCCAAATCAGCAACTGAAGCACCAGCTTTGAATCCATTCTCAACAGCATTTCCAACTCCATTGATACCTTGACCAATAGCACCACCAAGTTTATCGCCAAGTAAAGATTGAGCGGCACCAGCAACCATGTTAGAACCAGAACTGGCCAATTTACCAACTCCATTGATACCAGAACTAACAGCATCACCTAATTTATTTTCTGCCTGAGCAGCCATTGAAGCTCCACTTGAGATGAGGTTACCAGCAGCATCAAGTCCACTTGTTTCCAATGCACCAATGCCTTTGATACCATTTGATACTCCATTAGCTGCACCAGTAGCTAGTGAACCTAAACCAGAGGCTACTGAGTTAACAGCATTGGAAGCAACTGATGAGGCTACCGACGAGGCGACATTAGCAATTAGATTGGCTGGATTCAAGAAGGATCGACCATGAACATTGCTTTGTAAGTCGAAGTCGGGTGATTGTTCATTGCAAACTACTGATGAAGCGATGAACAGTGAGAAGAGGATTGATACTGGGATTGGTTGCATATTGTTGGTTTAGTTTAGGAACTTTGTTATACACAATAATCAAATTGAATCGATACTTGAAGTAAATTAACTTGATAATAATCAAATCCAAACTTCGAGTATTTATATACGATTTACCTCACTTTTTTACTCACACAAATTGTCTTATTTGATTGATTTTCATTCATATTTTGATAAATCAGAAAAACATCGAAACAAATGATTTTACGTTGCATATTAAGTGAATATGAACGGGAAAAATAGTTAACTAAATATTCAGAACAAAGAAAAAACATTGCATTAGCTAGAAAATAAGATTGGTACTGTTGCCCGCTCATTGACGATCAAATCAAAGCACAATTCCAAATGTGTTATACAATTGTTATGACAATTTAATGAAAAGCAGGTGATAAGAGCAGGCATCATAACGCAGATTGGTGTAAGTGTCCGCTCATCGGTGCTAAATCAATGTCTGTCAGTCATTCAAAATGTTTGTTATTGGCCATTCATAGACGATAGTATATCACCTGTTATATAAGCCGTCTAAATAAATTGGTTCATTAGAACTTGTTTGTTTATTCAGTAATGAAAATTGATCAAACAGTTAGAACAAAATATTGCATTGTTTTAATTTGACGTAAAAATAAGAAGACAATTTGTGTGAGCAAAAAGTGAGTTGCATAGTATATAAATGCTCGAGTTTTTGGATTTAATTATCACCAAGCTAATTTACCTCAAACAATTCAAATTAATTCAATTAGATAATTCTTATAACATTAGTTTGTGTAAAACAAAGTCTCTAACTAAACCATAAACATGCAACCAATTCCAGTCTCTATCCTCTTCTCTCTCTTCATCGCTTCATCAGTAGTTTGCAATGAACAATCACCCGAATTGAATTTACAAAGCAATGTCCATGGTCGCCATTTCTTGAACCCATTCAAAATTGCTTCCAATGTTGTCTCATCAGTCGCTTCTAATGCTGGTAAAGGTATTGGTGGTGTTGCCAATCAAGCTGCTGATGCCGAAACCAAGTTAGGTAATGCTGTCAGTTCTGGTATCAATGGAGTTGGTAAATTGGCTAGTGCTGGTTCTAATGTGGCTGCAGGTGCCGTTGAATCTTTTGCTAACATGAAAGGTGATGCAGTTCGTGCTATTGGTGACATTGCTGCATTCAAAGCTAACATGGCTTCTGGTGCCATTAAAGGAGCTGGTCAAATGGCTAATTCACTTCTCAGTGGATTCGGTTTAGCCCCTCTTGGTAGTCTTGTCTCTGCTGGAACTAACAAGTTGGGCGATGTCGCATCCAAGATTGGATCAGCAGCCGATAAAAAGTTTGATGCACTTGGTGATCTTAATGTTGTCGGAGGTAAAGCTATTGGTAACAAAATCAAAGGACTTGGAAGTGCAGTTGAGAATGGATTCAAAGCTGCTGGATCAGTTGCTGATATGGGTTTCGGTCTCAAAGCTAATGCCATTAAAGGAATCGGTGGAGCTGCTGAGTCTCTGGCAAATGGTCTGGGTAAGGTTGCTGGTGCTAAAGGTGATGCACTTACTGATGGAGCTTCAAAGGCTGGTCAAATGGCAGAAAGTGGAGTAAAAGCAGCAAGTGATGCCGCTGGTAAGGTTGCTGGTGATGTTGCTGGTAAAGTTGATAGTGCTGTTGGTGCGATTACTGATGGAGCTTCAAAGGCTGGAGAAATGGCCAGCAATGGAGTTAAAGCCGCTGGTGACGCAGCAGGTAAAGCTGTTGGTGCTTTAACTGGTGCCGTTTCAGGTCTTTTTGGTTAAATCTAACATCTCAACCAAATATCCTACAGAAAGTCATTCAACTTTCAGGATCATTCACAAACCCAATATTTTAGCATTTAATTTCAATAGAAATGTATTCTTTCAACGTCTAATTATTCAACAATAAACTAAATTTCAAAGCTGTAATTTCTTCATTTCAATTCGTTTCTTTCCTTACATTATTTCGATCAGTTTATTAAAATATATCAATGTTACTTTCAAATATCTATAACTAAGCTACGACCGATATAGTTCGTAACCAAATGAATTTCGCTTTGCTTTTCAACCAGTCGATTTTGGCAGTAAAAAATTATTTTTAATTTTTTTTTGGTGGTCACATTAGTAAAATGTAGCTTAGATGAATGTCCAACAAAAAAGTCTGGTAAAACAATGGTGCAAATATGGTCAGTCATTATCGGCAGTGTATGAAAAACAGATTGGTGATAAACTTTGTCGGGTCAGACCTTAAGTTTATATTAGGGTTATAATATAAACTTAATATCATAATATATATATTATGATTTTTTGATTTAATGAAATTCCAGTCAATTCTAAGCTAAACTTCATACCCAATCGCAAAACTTATTTGACACCCTAATACATGTATTATAAGTTTAGTTTTAACAAATCACTTTCTAACGAATCTTAATATCAATACATATCGATGTTTTGCTTTTCCTAGCATTTTTAATTTCTAAATGAAACTGAATATCTATCTCGGTCTATCTCGATCTACCTACATGTACATCTAGTAACGACCTAGTAATAAAAATTGCAATACAAATGTTGTTGTTAATATAAGGCCAAGTTGATGATGAATTTTTGCTTTAATCACTGATACCATGTCAGTGAAATTTGTAATAAACTGTTTGTCTCTAACTAAAAGTTTGGCCGTATATCTGTACTATTCGGCATTCACGTTACAGATTTAATCAGCGAAAAAGAGAAAAAACTAAGCCTCGAAAATTTAGCATATCACCATTAAAACCAAAGATGGAAATAATATTTGACTATTAGAATCAGATAAACATGCATTCAGGTTTGAAGTTATTTTTTGCAATGCGATTTATTTTTAATTATTGGATAATAAATGTAGTTAGTTTGTGCTTACAGTTTTGACATAAATGAAAAAAAACATTGAACGATCTTAGTTTAAGAGCAAATATGCAACAGATTTTGATTGCCGTAACCCTTAACCGAACAATTTACCAGCGACAGCACCAACTACACTACCAGTAACATCACCAGCAACCTTACCGGCTACTTTACCAACTCCACTTCCAACAGCTTTCACTCCACTGTCGGCCATTTGACCAACCTTTGAAGCTCCACCAGCAAGTAAACCAGCTTTAGCACCAGCAACTTTACCTAAACCATTGGTAAGAGATTCACCAACATTACCGACACCTTTGATTGCATTAGCTTTAAGACCGAAACCCAAATCAGCAACTGAAGCACCAGCTTTGAATCCATTCTCAACAGCATTTCCAACTCCATTGATACCTTGACCAATAGCACCACCAAGTTTATCGCCAAGTAAAGATTGAGCGGCACCAGCAACCATGTTAGAACCAGAACTGGCCAATTTACCAACTCCATTGATACCAGAACTAACAGCATCACCTAATTTATTTTCTGCCTGAGCAGCCATTGAAGCTCCACTTGAGATGAGGTTACCAGCAGCATCAAGTCCACTTGTTTCCAATGCACCAATGCCTTTGATACCATTTGATACTCCATTAGCTGCACCAGTAGCTAGTGAACCTAAACCAGAGGCTACTGAGTTAACAGCATTGGAAGCAACTGATGAGGCTACCGACGAGGCGACATTAGCAATTAGATTGGCTGGATTCAAGAAGGATCGACCATGAACATTGCTTTGTAAGTCGAAGTCGGGTGATTGTTCATTGCAAACTACTGATGAAGCGATCAACAGTGAGAAGAGGATTGATACTGGGATTGGTTGCATATTGTTGGTTTAGTTAGAGACTTTTTTTACAATAATTATTTTAATACAATAATCTAATTGAATTGATACTGATGATAGATTAACTTGATAATAATCAAATCCAAAACTTCGAGCATTTATATACGATTTAACTCACAAATTATCTGATTTTTACGTCAAATTAAAACAATGAAATATCCAATTTTCCTAATTTGATTGATTTTCATTCATTAAACAATTTATTTGACTATTAATATTAAGTGTTTATGAACGAAAAAATAACAATGATTTCAGAATAAGAACCAAACATTGAATTTGCTAGGAAATGAGACTGGTACTATTGCCCGCTCATTGACAATCAAGTCAAAGCACAATACCAAATGGAATGTTTAATTGTTATGACAATCTAATGAAAAGCAGGTGATGAGAGCAGACATAATAACTTTAGATTGGTTTAAGTGTCCGCTTATTGGTGCTAAATCAATGTCTGTCAGTCAATCGAAATGTTTATTACTGGCCATTCCTAAGATATAATATCTCACCTGTAATATTAACAATTTAAATAAATTGGTTCATTAGGACTTGTTTGATTATTTAGGAATGAAAATCAATCAAAGGGTTGGAATAAAATATTCCATTGTTTCAATTTGACGTAAAAATCAGAAGAAAATTTGTGTAATAGGGAGTAAGTTTAATTGTATATAAATACTCGAAGTTTTGTGTTTGATTATCATTCAGTTGATTTACATTTAGTATCAAACAAATTAGACTATTGTGTAAAACAAAGTTCCTAACTAAACCATAAACATGCAACCAATTCCAGTATCAATCCTCTTCTCTCTATTCATTGCTTCATCAGTAGTTTGCAATGAAGAATCACCCGAATTGAATTTACAAAGCAATGTTCATGGTCGACTCTTCTTGAACCCATTCAAAATCGTTTCTAATGTGGTCTCATCGGTTGCTTCTAATGCTGGTAAAGGTATTGGTGGAGTTGCTAATCAAGCTGCTGATGCCGAAACCAAGTTAGGTAATGCTGTCAGTTCTGGTATCAATGGAGTTGGTAAATTGGCTAGTGCTGGTTCTAATGTGGCTGCAGGTGCCGTTGAATCTTTTGCTAACATGAAAGGTGATGCAGTTCGTGCTATTGGTGACATTGCTGCATTCAAAGCTAACATGGCTTCTGGTGCCATTAAAGGAGCTGGTCAAATGGCTAATTCACTTCTCAGTGGATTTGGTTTAGCTCCTCTTGGTAGTCTTGTCTCTGCTGGAACTAACAAGTTGGGCGATGTTGCATCCAAGATTGGATCAGCAGCCGACAAAAAGTTTGATGCACTTGGTGATCTTAATGTTGTCGGAGGTAAAGCTATTGGTAACAAAATCAAAGGACTTGGAAGTGCAGTTGAGAATGGATTCAAAGCTGCTGGATCAGTTGCTGATATGGGTTTCGGTCTCAAAGCTAATGCCATTAAAGGAATCGGTGGAGCTGCTGAGTCTCTTGCAAATGGTTTGGGTAAGGCTGCTGGTGCCAAAGGAGATGCACTTGCTGATGGGGCTTCAAAGGCTGGTCAAATGGCAGAAAGTGGAGTGAAAGCAGCAAGTGATGCCGCTGGTAAGGTTGCTGGTGATGTTGCTGGTAAAGTTGATAGTGCTGTTGGTGCTATTACTGATGGAGCTTCAAAGGCTGGAGAAATGGCCAGCAATGGAGTTAAAGCCGCTGGTGATGCAGCAGGTAAAGCTGTTGGTGCTTTAACTGGTGCCGTTTCAGGTCTTTTTGGTTAAATCTAACATCTTAATCAAATATACTACAGAAAGTCATTCAACTTTTATGATCATTTACATACACAATGTTTAGTATTTGGTTCCAATAGAAATGTATTCTTTCAACGTCTTATAATTCAACAATAAACTAAATTTCAAAGCTGTAAATTCTTTCTCAGCACATTATTCCGATCAGTTATATTAATTTGCAATTTAATAACCATATCTAAGTTCTTATTACAAAAGATCGTCTTTATTGGATACTGATTTAAAAGTCTATTTAGTTACGACTTGTTTGATACAAGTTGTATCCATATTACTAGACTGTTACCAAATTGTGATATCAATTAAAGTCTGACTCGAGTCCTAGAGATCCTGTTATTAGATACGTGTATCCTTTAATAATAGATACAAGATTAATATCAAAGATTCTAAAGAAAAATGAAAAAATTTCTCCTTGATTGAATCATTGGAATGCGACATTGTAAAGTGTAGCGAAAAAAATTATATTCAACAATTGTTTAATAAAACAGTTCGAACCTCACGGGTATAACTGGTTTATTGCGTTTTTCATCACCAACTTATTGGAAACCATTTCGTGAAAAAAACCTGCCTTGTGCCTGATTAAACAACTACTAACATCAACGCTTTTCTCATCTTAACCTGTTACCAGCATTGGTTCAATTATATACAACTGATTGAAGATCATTTCAACCGAAAAGGAAATAAAGGTAACCAAAAAAATATCAACATCATCAAATGCATTTCTAAATTTTTTGTTATTTTAAATTCAGTGATATTGAAAATTTGTATTAATAAAAACATTTTTGATCTTGTTCAATTTCAGGCCCAATTTTATGGATACAATTCATCCAGTTTACCAAGTGACAAGATACATACGATCAGTCTAGTAATCAATAACTCTCATTCATTATCATACGATAACCAACAGATCAAGATTCTTGGCGCCAAGCGTTCAAATGTTTATAACTCAACGCCTTTTCAAGAAAAATGTGCTTTTCTATACTCTATATTAACAAGTGATTCAAAGCCTGATGCTAACAATGTTAAGATAGATTAAAAATAATGTTCAAAAGGTAAATTCAAAATTTAACTTACATTATTGTGAAAAGATTCACTTTGCCATTTCCATTTTAACCATCCTTTTTTGCTTTTCAATCTTATTTACCTTACATACCTTAACACTGGCAACATTAACAATAATAATGATTATAGTAAATTAAAGATGCAAATTTTTACCTCTTTCAACTAATAATGATTTTTTCTTTAATCAGATTACAGAGTGCTTTGTAGATGGAGGAGTTAAATGGCAGAAGAGTAATACTCGTAAAGATCTTAAGGAAAAAATCAAATAACAGAGCAAGGATGGCAAAAAGTGTATTTCCAGTGATTAACATGAGAAATTTAAATCTGCCAACTTGAAAGTTATTAACAAGATTCAACCCATTTCTAATAACCTTCAACCCTGTGCTTCCTGTTTCCTGCCATCATCTTGCAAGTCATCATCATCACAACTGCCACCACTGTCACCACCGCAGTCACCATCATCATAATCATTATAAACTTCAACATCATCAAAAAAAAGAGTCGAGGCAAGACAAGGAAGAAAGTCTTCTCTCCTGTATCCTGAAACATCTTTCTATGCAGAATTCAATGATGAAAATCAAAAAGTGATACTAAATTTTTGCTTCTTCTTGAAGACAACATCATGATTCCTGTAGATTAAGTAAGAGCCCTTGTTGAAAAGCTAAGCTCAAGATGAAGGCAAGCAAAAAAAGACATCAACAACAACAAAAACATTGTCGATGATATAAAAATGCTTGAGGAGGAGAAGCAAGAGGAAGGAGAAGGAGGAGGAAGAAGAAGAAAAAAATAAAAGTAAAACACAAAAAAAAGATTATGATAAAAGTACATAATACTCACATCATAATGGTTCCTCTCCCGTATTTTTTTGGCTGCTACTGTTTTGATGTTTACTGGTGAAACAGCTAAAATTTGTAACATATGTTTATATTGATATTATGTATACAATATAAATAATATGCTGTTAGCTAAACAATTTGAATCTGCTTATACCAGAAAGTTGGAAGCAAAAACATTATTAACTTGAATATGGTACGAATTATGAAGGAGAAGCAAAAAAAAAGTTCCAGAACTCTATCAAATTTAACTTTTTCTTTACCCTTCCCACCATCATCTTCATCTTGATTCCTCAATTGTATTATGATTTCAATTTATTACCAATGAGTCTTACATTTTTCCTTTTCTTTACCATTTCCAGTTGGATAACATTACACCTTTACATCTGCATGGTAATCACAAGCTAATACGGATCGCTGGCAAGATGCAAGCTCTTTGGAAATACAATTCAATATTGATTGATACCAGTGTTGCTGCCATTATTCACAATCCATTCGCCTCTTGACTTTTGTTTGATGTGGTCAGTTGATCGCTTATTAAAGGCCTAACAGAAGCATCTGATTTTGGTATCGATATGGAAAAGGCAAAATTGAATATCTTGAATCATCAGCATATTATCTCTCACCAAACATATTTGAAATTCAAATGTGTTGCCTGTTTTTTTATACTCCAAGACATTTCCATTCTCACACTCCTTCCATTGTTATTATCAATATTTATTCGCTCAAAGGTATTGATATATTCAGTGTAATATTTCACCAAACTTGATTCAATGAACCAACAACAAGTCAAGAGTTTTCGCTATAATTGTTACTCTAACAATTTGAATTGCTTGTTTTTTAATGTTTATTGACTCGATAAACATGCAGCAGTCAAAAAAACTGCTGAACAACAAAAAAGGCAATTTCCAATTGGATCATCTTTAAACTAATATTTACATTGGTTTTAATGGTAGTCAATGTGAGACTTTTCATTGTTCAAAGGCCTTTATCCTTTCCCTGTAATGATGATACCTGCAACACTAAAGTTTACTCGATAAACAGCTTTCAACTCAACATGGATGGAAAATTATTCACAGCTATTTACTTGTTTTTAATCATTTAACCTTTTACTTTCATTGTAATTTTATATTAATACCTTTACAGTGATTTGACCTTAACGTGATTCCTATAAGTACAATGTGATGATAAAGATTGCTGCAAATGAGAATTGGTTAATGAATGAAAGTTAATTCCTTTTCTTTCCATTTTTTTCTTCTTTCTACTCCAACTGTAATTAATCATCAAGCTACTCTTATTGAAATACATTTAATTAGTTCAATATGAATAGAGTCATGAATAACTTAAGGTTATATATGTAAAGTTAATAATACCTGGATTGTGATACAAAATAATGGCAAGGTAAGGGTTGAATAGAGACGAGAGGGAAAAAATGCTTTTCGTACAAAATGAATAGGACAAACATTTTTATTCATTTCATTGTTTCTCATATTAAGTGAACAGCAAGAAGTGAACAAAAAAATGTTATTTTATCATTATTTTGTCATTACATGATGATAATGAAACTGATGGTATAAACTTTCACCAAGTCTTTTTGTTCCTCCCTTCATTTGCTACATTTTTACATACCAAGTTAATTTGTTTGTTTGTTAATTAATTAAAATCACAATCTTCATCAATCTTTCCTTTGCTCTTTGAGGATTTCACATTTTTGTAGCGTTTTGTATTTCCCTTCTTCCATTGTATTTGACTGTAAAAATGGCTGTAAATTTATCACAATTTGAACACTTTAACAAACCTTATCAACATTAAGGTTAAACAGTCAAAAACAATGGGCTTCTCAACTCGAGTCTACAATTTCAGTCTCATTTCACAGATTAACCTTTTATGTTCAAATAAATCGGATTGTCCTCTCAACTGTTCAAGAGTCAAACTATAACTGTTGCTACAATTTAATGGCAAAACTTTACCTCGACCAATTTATCAAGAAAATTTAAAGCAAAGGCAAAACTTGATTCACTCATTACCTTTTCAATTGCACAAATGGTTAAATAACATGAAATTGAGAATGAAAATTGTCTTTTCTTTTAATTCAACTTCTAAATTCATTTAATATCTCAGAGTTGAGGAAAAGCAAAATATAATCAAAGCTACAATCGAAATCTGAATGCAAGGAAAATCTTCACTTCGATCAACCCAAAGCTGAGAATTTCAAGTTCGCTTTTTATCGATGATTTTGTTTCATTTGACATTTAATTTCTGTACGATTTTTACATCAAAAGACCATTTAATAATATTGAAATGAATAAAATATTGAAAACGAATGTATAATTGAGCATTTTATTGTCATTTTTTTACCAAAAAGTGGTTTTGTTATCAATGAAGAAAAATGTTGACTGAACAAAATTTCTAAGGTAAAAACTGAACCAAATGTAGTAAATGAAAAATTGAATTTACATTTTAAGTGAAGTGAAAAAAGGCGAGTCTAAATTACTGATTTGTATGAATAAATATCACAAATAATTGCTGATTATCTGAGTGCAACCAAGACAGTTAATCCATGTAACCTGAAAGAAGGGAAGAAAAGAAGAAATGAATGGAAAGAAGACAAAAATTGGGGTAAAAAGATAGTCGAAGTAAACTGACCATAATTTGAGAAACAATTTTGAGCAACAATTTAAACTACTTTTGAAACGTGAAAACAAGAGTCCATTGAAAAATAGTTATCTTTGATTCCATTGTTACTTTGCTTTTTGGTTTCCAAACTAATCACTTTAACCTGTGATTTAATCACTAAGTTTCAATGATTCTCGGTGAATTAGCTGTAAAACAAAATAAAGAATAAATTCAATTACCAAAACAAAATAAAACAATCATGGAAAAACATTGAATCTCAGAAAGAGTTTCAAAAGTACAACAAGCCAAAGGGAAAGTGTAACAGTTAAAAATGTTAACAAGCTTGTCAGTCACAATGAAATAATCATAAGAAAAGCGCTATTAAAATGAATAAACTTGTCAACATTTTGTTCTTTTCTCAGATTCCATAAAATTGATAGTGAAAAAAGGGTAAATTTTCAAACACAATTTGACTTTTAAATGAGCTTGAACGAGGAGTAAATAACTTCCAAAAAAGATAACAAGAAAAGGGTTATTTATTATTATAACAAGAAACAAACAAGATGCTATTTATTTTGCTTGGTTAAACATTTTTTGCATTTACAATTCGCATTTAGATTGGAACATCTTTTTCTTCCTTTTTTCTCAAAGGCAAAATTGTATGATTTATCAAAATGATTAAATAATGAGGTTGGGATTGCAGGTAAAATGAAAGGTAATAGGAAATGTGGCAACAAAAAGAGAGCAAACAAATTGACTCTTGAGATTTGTCTCTTGTCCCATTGTTTCTCGATGTCATGTTCAACAAGCGGAGTTGATAATTGTTTAACAATATTTACAATTGATTGTAATGTTTCATTGCTTGTATCAATCAATTTGGCTTTTTATTTTTGACCAATTTTCTGGGTTCTTTTCTGGTCTATTCTCTCGTTTTTGGGTTTACAGCTTTTACTTTAAATGGTTGAGTTGAAGATGAAATGGCACACCGCTAATGGCATACAATTTGTACGAAATAAATGATGTATAAATGAGTGGAATGTAAGAAAATTACAAACCTCTGTAGGTGACAGATCTTTTCATGGAACATGAACCTTTCCTTTTAGATGTCACATTTTGATCCATTTTTTTACCAAATTCAGTTACATACTCGGGTCCATCAAATTTTTCAGACAACCTCTCATCGTGTCCCTGTATAGAGGAAAAGGTTAATGAATAAATGAATGGACAAGAAAGGATGAAATTTTCATTTCGAAAAGTCCGGTTTAAAGATTTTCAAAAAATTGTCATTTCGCGATCAGAGCATTAACATTGAACTTGGTAACTCTTGTGGCTTTATTGGCAATCAACTAGATTCTGTCATGACATGGATTATTGAACATGAAATAGCCAAAGAATGTTTTTAATTGAAAAATTTCTAAATGGTTGGACAAGTTGACCTCAACATTGAACGAAAACAATGAGAAAATGATTTTCTTCAATCTTTTTCTTCTCCTTGTTCCATCCTTCATCTTATTTGGTAATGAAACAAAGTATAACATTATGACAATCTTTATCATCATTAACTTTTCATGGGTTAAACTTGCTATTGTCTTCATTGCCTAAACTTTGTCATTATTGTTATCAATTTCAGCTTTTGCTCAACTGAAGGATCATCATGAGTTTAAAATGAAAAACTAAGACAATTTTAATGTTGCCAGGGAAATGATTGTTTTCATAGATTAATCAATTTGCTTGAAGGAAAGTTTTACCTCTAATGAGATTTGATATGAAGTTTCAAAGTTAATGTTGGTTCTTATTGGCCGTGAGTTGAGTCGTTGGATGGGACGATAGTTGTCAGCTCCGTGGCTGGGTTCATCGGTTGAGGAAGACATTCGCAGGGAATGGAAAAGGTGACTTGTCATGTAAATTGGTTTGTTCAATATTATCCATTGGACTGTTTCATAACAACCTGGTTCAGTCAGGGAACCATCATAGGTTAGATATTGTCTTCTCATGGCTTCAGGCATAATCTCTTTGATTGACAAAGATTCCATCTTCTGAGAACTTCCTGTGACATTTCAGTTTAATAACAATGAGAATAGAGAAGAAGAAGAAATGTCTTTTATTCAATTGCAATCAAATGAGTTTAATCCAAAAGTGAAACAAATTCAGCTTTTCTTGGTCGTTTGGATTCAACTTGAAGTTTAAAATGATTGTTGATTAGAGGTTATGGCCAGAGCTTTGATTTACCTTTTTGTTGATATTTTCATTGCCTATAACCAGTAATGATATTATTTTGAATATAATATTGAAATTTAATGCTCAATATTATTCTCGAATAACAACAATAATCATGGAATAGTTCATATTTTTCTTAGTTTTTTGGATAGACTTGAAAAATATGGATTACATTACATAACATTATAAAGATGAAATTAAGTTGAAAGTTGACTTTGAATCAAAAACCTTACAATATCCACATTGATATGTAATGCATCATGAAATTTGATTGAATTGAAATGTGAGAACATTTTCTTTCTTCTATATTTTCAAGTTTCTGAAACTTGATTTGGAGATGTAAGTTTCAAAGTTTATTGATCATAAGACTTTAGACAACGATATTCGAATATCCAGAGTTTAGTTTTTAAAACTTGTGGTCAAGTGGCTTAGATCTACAGATCTACTCAAAGTATTGACAAGTTAGATGAGGAAAGATGATTTTAGTTGTTCGTTACTCATTCACCGTCAAATTATACAAAAGCATATATCATGAAACATAAATTAAAAAATATATAGTCAAAGTGATTTGTTAAATCAATAACGTAAATCAAAAGTCGATGTAAAAGAAATGATGAAAAGTCACAAAAGTTTAGCAGGAGAAACTAAAGTTGTTAGGAGTTTAGGAGTTGAGAGTTAAGCGAATCCAAATCTCATTCAATAATGTGTGTTATTGCCATTTGACTTTTGGAATCAAATAGACAAACATTAGAATTGCAAGTTGATTTTTTAGTTTATTATTTAACTACTGAATGAAAATTATTGCTTACATTAACATTGAATTTTTCAATGGATATAATAGAGAGAAAAATCTGAAAAACATGTAGAACTGTATATTATGATTGAGGTTATCCTTAACCGAACAATTTACCAGCAACAGCACCAACGACACTACCAGTAACATCACCAGCAACCTTACCGGCTACTTTACCAACTCCACTTCCAACAGCTTTTACTCCACTGTCGGCCATTTGACCAACCTTTGAAGCTCCACCAGCAAGTAAATTAGCTTTAGTACCAGCAACTTTACCTAAACCATTGGTAAGAGATTCACCAACATTACCGACACCTTTAATTGCATTAGCTTTAAGACCGAAACCCATATCAGCGACTGAAGCACCAGCTTTGAATCCATTCTCAACAGCACTTCCAACTCCATTGATACCTTGACCAATAGCACCACCAAGTTTATCACCAAGTAAAGATTGAGCGGCACCAGCAATCATGTTGGAACCAGAACTAGCCAATTTACCAACTCCATTAATACCAGAACTAACAGCATCACCTAATTTATTTTCTGCCTGAGCAGCCATTGAAGCTCCACTTGAGATGAGGTTACCAGCAGCATCGAGTCCACTTGTTTCCAATGCACCAATGCCTTTGATACCATTTGATACTCCATTAGCTCCTTTTGTAGCTAGTGAACCTAAACCAGAGGCTACTGAGTTAACAGCATTGGAAGCAACTGATGAGGCTACCGACGAGGCGACATTAGCAATTAGATTGGCTGGATTCAAGAAGGATCGACCATGAACATTGCTTTGTAAGTCGAAGTCGGGCGATTGTTCATTGCAAACTACTGATGAAGCGATCAACAGTGAGAAGAGGATAGAGACTGGGATTGGTTGCATATTGTTGGTTTAGTTAGAGACTTTTTTTACACAAAATTATTTTAATACAATAATCTAATTGAATTGATACTGGTGATAGATCAACTTGATAATAATCAAATCCAAAACTTCGAGCATTTATATACGATTTAACTCACAAATTCTCTGATTTTTACGTCAAATTAAAACAATGAAATATCCAATTCTCCTAATTTGATTGATTTTCATCCATTAAACAATTTATTTGACTATTAATATTAAGTTTTTATGAACGAAAAAATAACAATGATTTCAGAACAAGAACCAAACATTGAATTTGCAGGGGAATAAGATTGGTACTATTGCCCGCTCAATGTCAATCGAATCAAAGCACAATACCAAATGAATCGTTTAATTGTTATGACAATCTAATGAAAAGCAGGTGATGAGAGCAGACATAATAACTTTAGATTGGTTTAAGTGTCCGCTTATTGGTGCTAAATCAATGTCTTGTCATTCAATATATTCACAAGGCATCATTGGCCATTCATAAGTTGCATCACCTGTTGTACCAGCAATCTGAATAAATTGGTTCATTAAGACTTGTTTGATTATTTAGTAATGAAAATCAATCAAACATTTAGAAGAAAATATTCCATTGTTTTAATTTGTCGTAAAAATGAGAAGACAATGAATGTGTGAGCAAAAAGTGAGTTGATTCGTATATAAATGCCCGAGTTTTTGGATTTGATTATCACCAAGTTGATTTACCTCAAACAATTTAAGTTAATTCAGTTAGATAATTCTTATAGCATTATTTTGTGTAAAGCAAAGTCTCAAAATAAACCATAAACAGGCAACCAATTCCAGTCTCTATCCTCTTCTCTCTCTTCATCGCTTCATCAGTAGTTTGCAATGAACAGTCACCCGAATTGAATTTGCAAGGCAATGTTCATGGTCGACTCTTCTTGAACCCATTCAAAATCGCTTCCAATGTTGTCTCATCAGTCGCTTCTAATGCTGGTAAAGGTATTGGTGGTGTTGCCAATCAAGCTGCTGATGCCGAAACCAAGTTAGGTAATGCTGTCAGTTCTGGTATCAATGGAGTTGGTAAATTAGCTAGTGCTGGTTCTAATGTGGCTGCAGGTGCCGTTGAATCTTTTGCTAACATGAAAGGTGATGCAGTTCGTGCTATTGGTGACATTGCTGCATTCAAAGCTAACATGGCTTCTGGTGCCATTAAAGGAGCTGGTCAAATGGCTAATTCACTTCTCAGTGGATTTGGTTTAGGTCCTCTTGGTAGTCTTGTCTCTGCTGGAACTAACAAGTTGGGTGATGTTGCAACTAAGATTGGATCAGCAGCCGATAAAAAGTTTGATGCACTTGGTGATCTTAATGTTGTCGGAGGTAAAGCTATTGGTAACAAAATCAAAGGACTTGGAAGTGCTGTTGAGAATGGATTCAAAGCTGCTGGATCAGTTGCTGATATGGGGTTCGGTCTTAAGGCTAATGCTATCAAAGGAATCGGTGGAGCTGCTGAGTCTCTAGCAAATGGTTTGGGTAAGGCTGCTGGTGCTAAAGGAGATTCACTTGCTGATGGAGCTTCAAAGGCTAGTCAAATGGCAGAAAGTGGAGTAAAAGCAGCAAGTGATGCCGCTGGTAAAGTTGCTGGTGATGTTGCTGGTAAGGTTGATAGTGCTGTTGGTGCTATTACTGATGGAGCTTCAAAGGCTGGAGAAATGGCCAGCAATGGAGTTAAAGCCGCTGGTGACGCAGCAGGTAAAGCTGTTGGTGCTTTAACTGGTGCCGTTTCAGGTCTTTTCGGTTAAATCTGACATCCCAACCAAATATCTTACAGAAAGTCTTTCAACTTTTATGGTCATTTACAAACACAATGTTTAGCATTTATTTGCAATTTAATGTATTCTTTCACCGTCAGATTATTCAATAAACTAAATTTTTAAGCTGTACTTTCTTCATAGCATTTCATCTCTTTAAATGATCAGTTTAACAAATGTTGCCTTCAAATATCTATAACTTCGTTTATGTTATAATATTATTAATACAATGGGTTTACTTTCGATCATCATTCTTAAATACATATTGCAATGTTTCTGCAATTCGTTTAACTCCGCCAAATTTTTATTATTTAGTAACTTCTTTGTTAAATTTCTCGTTTTATCATGCTACCAATTTTTATTGCAATCAAAATACTCTGATCCATAGTTACATTTGTAATTCACATTCGTTTCGGCCAAAAATTAGAACCAAATAGTTGTGCGAGAATGGTAACTTCTGGATTTTATGAAAAAGCGTCTGCTTCGTTTCGATATTTAGTCAATCAGTTGCAAAAAATTATTTCGCGTATCTTTTAGTGAAGAAACCATACAGCAAAAACTGCGAGCTTGTATTAGAATAAAACTTTAATAGAAGCACGTTTCCCTGTTTTTACTGTCGGTTATGAGCAGCTCGTTACAAAATAAAGCAGCTAGATACTGAACAGGCGAAAAATTGAGTCGAAAGATAGTATCTGCCTTAGATTTATAACTTTATTGAGTAGACTTTTTACTTTTTGCAGAGGACATAAAGCTCTCTGATGGTTCGGAAATAAGGACGAGTTATCTAATAGATTGTTGAAATTGACCATACAGTCGATGCAGTTTCACTAACTTAAGAAATTATAAAAGCTAAGAAAGCAAAACACAACAATATATCGAAATATATATTTCCGATCGAAGTGATTTGTCAAAACTAAAATCGGTGTTATAAAACTTGTTTATGATATTTCAAAGCAACATTTGATATATTTTCATAAATTGATCGAGTTAATGCAAAAAAATAAATGAAAAGAAATTAATTGAAGGATTAAAAGTCTACATGTCTATGTTTAAAGTTTAAGTTTTTTATTGAATAATTAGACGTCGAGGGAGTACATTTCAATTGAAATTAAATGCTGAAACATTAGGTTTGTCAATGAAGACATTCCAAAGTTAACCAAAAAGACCTGAAACGGCACCAGTTAAAGCACCAACAGCTTTACCTGCTGCATCACCAGCGGCTTTTACTCCATTGCTGGCCATTTCTCCAGCCTTTGAAGCTCCATCAGTAATAGCACCAACAGCACTATCAACTTTACCAGCAACATCACCAGCAACCTTACCAGCGGCATCACTTGCTGCTTTTACTCCACTTTCTGCCATTTGACTAGCCTTTGAAGCTCCATCAGCAAGTGAATCTCCTTTAGCACCAGCAGCCTTACCCAAACCATTTGCTAGAGACTCAGCAGCTCCACCGATTCCTTTGATAGCATTAGCCTTAAGACCGAACCCCATATCAGCAACTGATCCAGCAGCTTTGAATCCATTCTCAACAGCACTTCCAAGTCCTTTGATTTTGTTACCAATAGCTTTACCTCCGACAACATTAAGATCACCAAGTGCATCAAACTTTTTATCGGCTGCTGATCCAATCTTAGTTGCAACATCACCCAACTTGTTAGTTCCAGCAGAGACAAGACTACCAAGAGGACCTAAACCAAATCCACTGAGAAGTGAATTAGCCATTTGACCAGCTCCTTTAATGGCACCAGAAGCCATGTTAGCTTTGAATGCAGCAATGTCACCAATAGCACGAACTGCATCACCTTTCATGTTAGCAAAAGATTCAACGGCACCTGCAGCCACATTAGAACCAGCACTAGCTAATTTACCAACTCCATTGATACCAGAACTGACAGCATTACCTAACTTGGTTTCGGCATCAGCAGCTTGATTGGCAACACCACCAATACCTTTACCAGCATTAGAAGCGACTGATGAGACAACATTGGAAGCGATTTTGAATGGGTTCAAGAAGAGTCGACCATGAACATTGCCTTGCAAATTCAATTCGGGTGACTGTTCATTGCAAACTACTGATGAAGCGATGAAGAGAGAGAAGAGGATAGAGACTGGAATTGGTTGCATGTTTATGGTTTAGTTAGAGACTTTGTTTTACACAAAATAATGCTATAAGAATTATCTAACTGAATTAACTTAAATTGTTTGAGGTAAATCAACTTGGTGATAATCAAATCCAAAAACTCGGGCATTTATATACGAATCAACTCACTTTTTGCTCACACATTCATTGTCTTCTCATTTTTACGACAAATTAAAACAATGGAATATTTTCTTCTAAATGTTTGATTGATTTTCATTACTAAATAATCAAACAAGTCTTAATGAACCAATTTATTCAGATTGCTGGTACAACAGGTGATGCAACTTATGAATGGCCAATGATGCCTTGTGAATATATTGAATGACAAGACATTGATTTAGCACCAATAAGCGGACACTTAAACCAATCTAAAGTTATTATGTCTGCTCTCATCACCTGCTTTTCATTAGATTGTCATAACAATTAAACGATTCATTTGGTATTGTGCTTTGATTCGATTGACATTGAGCGGGCAATAGTACCAATCTTATTCCCCTGCAAATTCAATGTTTGGTTCTTGTTCTGAAATCATTGTTATTTTTTCGTTCATAAAAACTTAATATTAATAGTCAAATAAATTGTTTAATGGATGAAAATCAATCAAATTAGGAGAATTGGATATTTCATTGTTTTAATTTGACGTAAAAATCAGAGAATTTGTGAGTTAAATCGTATATAAATGCTCGAAGTTTTGGATTTGATTATTATCAAGTTGATCTATCACCAGTATCAATTCAATTAGATTATTGTATTAAAATAATTTTGTGTAAAAAAAGTCTCTAACTAAACCAACAATATGCAACCAATCCCAGTCTCTATCCTCTTCTCACTGTTGATCGCTTCATCAGTAGTTTGCAATGAACAATCGCCCGACTTCGACTTACAAAGCAATGTTCATGGTCGATCCTTCTTGAATCCAGCCAATCTAATTGCTAATGTCGCCTCGTCGGTAGCCTCATCAGTTGCTTCCAATGCTGTTAACTCAGTAGCCTCTGGTTTAGGTTCACTAGCTACAAAAGGAGCTAATGGAGTATCAAATGGTATCAAAGGCATTGGTGCATTGGAAACAAGTGGACTCGATGCTGCTGGTAACCTCATCTCAAGTGGAGCTTCAATGGCTGCTCAGGCAGAAAATAAATTAGGTGATGCTGTTAGTTCTGGTATTAATGGAGTTGGTAAATTGGCTAGTTCTGGTTCCAACATGATTGCTGGTGCCGCTCAATCTTTACTTGGTGATAAACTTGGTGGTGCTATTGGTCAAGGTATCAATGGAGTTGGAAGTGCTGTTGAGAATGGATTTAAAGCTGGTGCTTCAGTTGCTGATATGGGTTTCGGTCTTAAAGCTAATGCAATCAAAGGAGTCGGTAATGTTGGCGAATCTCTTACCAATGGTTTAGGTAAAGTTGCTGGTACTAAAGCTAATTTACTTGCTGGTGGAGCTTCAAAGGTTGGTCAAATGGCCGACAGTGGAGTAAAAGCTGTTGGAAGTGGAGTTGGTAAAGTAGCCGGTAAGGTTGCTGGTGATGTTACTGGCAAGGTAGTTGGTGCTGTCGCTGGTAAATTGTTCGGTTAAGGATTACCTCAATCATAATATACAGTTCTACATGTTTTTCAGATTTACCTCTCTATTATCTCTCTATTATATCCATTGAAAAATGCAATGTGTATGTAAGCAATAATTTTCATTCAATAGTTAAATAATAAACTAAATTTAATAATCCACTGCAATATAAATGCGCGTCTTTTTAATTCTAATAGCAAAATGGTAACATTATTGAACAAGACTCAAAAATTCTTTAATTCTTGCTCCTGCTGTAAACTTTTGTGACTTGTCATCCTTTGCTGAAACTTCAATTTTTGTCATTAATAATAACATACACAATATTATAGCAATAAACACTTAGCAAATTACGATCTACGATTCATTGATGCAATTTCCATACTTTTGAAACCCACGATTTACGTTTAGGTTCCAGATCTTATAGGCAGAATTTCGGATTCTTTTGAGCACATAATTACTTTGATAAACCTTGCTTCTTCAAATAATATCCAACAAAATTCTTAGTTTTCAATTTGAACCAAAAATTTCAATGAGTTTTGGTTCATGATTATTGCAAGTAAATTTTGTGACAAAACAATTTACATTTTACGATTGATCCAAATTGAATTAATTGAATGTATAAATGTAATAATTTGACCAAAAAACGATTCTTACCTGTAGTTGTGATATTTTTAAGTGCATGAGTTATCCTTCTCAACTGATTATTGGCTTGCTTGGAGTCATGAGATATTTGTAAAAGGACGGAAACAGCAACAACTCCGTGAGCTCGAAGTGAAGCCTCTTCCCATGAATCATAGAGAATTGAATTGTAGGCATAAAACTGTATCTCACCGGGAAACTGAATACCACCAATGGTGTGCTCTGATCCTTTTGAAATGTTACGACCATAATGAAGTGAAAAATGGTTCAAAGTGTAACGATAAGTTAATGGACCATTAGCCAAGTTAACGGAAGGTGATGAACCAGATAATGAAGCTGATGATAACTCAATGGATTCTGATTTGTTTAATCCTGATACTTTGAAGATTATACCTCGACCCGTGTTGATCAAGTTTCCGTTTACCTTGTCATGAGCAAAAAAAGAAGCCCAGAAAAACAAAAGCAAATGAAATGGTACATAAAGTCAGAGAAGAGAGGAAAAAGAAAGGAAGGAAATTAATGAAGTGATGAGGATAAATGGTAAAGAAGAGCAGAAAAGAAAAGTGATAAAGCAAAGGATTAAAGAGTAGAATGGATAAAATCTGTTTCCGGAATCGTTTGTTTAAACGGTGGAAACAATTTGAAGACAAGAAAAGAATGTGAAAATATGGAAATTAATTGAATGTCAAAGAAAACTGTTCAAGAACAAAAAGAACCGAAAAATTGGGTTTTGAAGGTTGATCAAGTTGCTAATGATAACTGACGAGTTTAACCATTATTAATGAGATCTGGTGTCTTTGGGTTGAGAGGTGATAATCAGTTGAAAGGTCAACTTACATGGTCACCAATTAACTGAAGAGGTGAAAGAAAAGGATCAAAAAGTAAAGCTTCCGGGTCAATGTCAATGGGCGATTGTCTTCTACCTTTACTGCATAAGCTCCATTTAGGATTAAGTCTTCCCCAAAAATTGGGTCCTAAAGAGAAGAAGAAAAGTTGAGGTTTTAGTTTTGTTTTTTTTTTGGAGCAACAATGGTCTGTGATTGATTCATTTTGATGAACAATTACCGATCCAATTATCTTTAATCAGTAGGCTAATAAATATCAAGGCTCTTTATGGTTGATGCATGATAATAACCTGACAAGATCAAATTGTATGTCAAAATGAATATCGTTTTCTTTGCCTTTTTTCATCTTATTGTTATTGTCTTAAACATTTTTGCTGTTCCCATGAGCGCGCATTGTAATGATGATGATGATGATAATGTATTCAGAGAGAGAAGGAGAAAGACATTGAAATCTGGTGATGATGATGATAATAGTTTGACAGGTTGGCAAATGATTGGTAAGCTGTAAGCTAATAATGTCATCACTTTTGACCAGTTTCAATGGTTCCCTTCTTTCAACAGTTTATCATCATTTGATAACCTCAAATTGGCTTCATTATTTTTCCTCGTTTCTATTAATGTTTCTATTAATGTTAATATTAATGTTTCAATGGTTGTTGATTGACTTTATTATTTTATATTAAAAGATGGCCATGATAATGGTTAATCATATTGTCATAGAATCGAGTGTTTAATGTCAATTTAAAGGATTGAGGAAAGAAAGGTTGAATTGAAGTGTGACAGAAAAAGTGAGGTGTGTAGGTGTACAAAGGCTTGTAGGTAAAAGATTGTTAACAATCGAACTTCTTGTCTTCACTTCTCAACATAATGATACATGATAAAAAGCATTATAGGAGGAGTTTATTCATCAACTTTGATCAGGGATTTTAGTAGTGTTAAAAAGTCCTACAACTTGTCCGCTTTAGGACAGCTTTTTTTCAACTTTATGCCCGACTCTGCGACAAGAGTAAAAACGCGTTTTTTAGATTAGCATTTTTCTAATGGAAGAGAATGAGAGAATTTTTTGATTGAAACTATTTATTTTTCTTCTTGCTTCTATGAAAATATGAAAATATGGCTACAAAATCATTTTTTATTGGCAATTTCTTGAGCTTTTTTTGCTGCCCATTCCAAATATTGTCTCATCATTTTTACAAATAAGGTTTAAAGGATCGAGATGAGGACCAATGACAACAAGAAATCTAGAGCCTGAATGCGCGTGGAAATGGTTCATGACAGCAGCAAAGGATTTTCTATTCTATGACATGTTTAGGAGAAACATCTTCATTTGGACGAATTTGTTTTACTCTTTCACAAAAAAAGTACTCAAGACAATTGTGAGGAATTGGACGAGAGTTTGGTTGATGAGGACAAAAGGATTATAAATTGTTACAAGACGATCACAAATGAATCAAGATAATAATTCAACATTGAAAGGGCAACTGCATCTTAATAAGTACCCAGCAGTTGGCTGTTAACAAACACCATTTAAAAAGTGCCTCCTCTACTCTTTACTGCCATCTGCAACGTATGCTGCTATGATTGTTGATTTATATTCAATGTACAGGGCTATTCAGCCTCATTTACTTCCCGTGTTATTCGATATCTAAAGATCCGAACATGCTCGGCTTTAAACGGTTTCAAAATCTTAAGCTTCCGTACAGTTTGATTAATTTCAATTATTTGGCTATGATGAGGAAAACTTGAACAAAAATAACCTTTAAATAGTCCCAATAGATTTTGCAGAATTAGTATATTGCCCACTCATCTGGCTAGCAGACTATCACAGAAATTGATGTTATCAAAACTAAAATTGTCCCAACATATAATGGATAATTTGTTAATTTGAATTCATGTCTAGTTTTTTCCTCTGCCACTAGAATTGAATATTCCCTGATTGTTGAAAATAACGTTATCCAATGATCTGCAAGGTAATAATATCAGTCAGTGATGGATATTTGATATGAATTTGAGTTTTTGATTGATTAACGTACTCAGTGTAGGTACATAATTTATCGTCAATTCACGGCACAAACGAACAATCAGTCGATTAACAATCAGGATGAATTCAGTTGATTTAGAAACAATGCATGATGATTGACAATTCCAATTTTTCAACGTTTATATTTCAACAGCGTGATTTTGAGAATTGAAAAAAAAATTTCTGAAGTTTCAAGGACATTCAAAGTCATTCGTTTATTTGACCTCTAAACGACTTTTGAAGGTTATTTTCGCATACCGTTTAAATATAAATACCATAGCCTGTTTAGATCTTTAGATATTGATTGGAACGTAAAGTAAATGAGGCTGAATAGCCCTGAATATTGCAGTTATGCGATCCTCATAAGATTTTGTACTTCTATGTTAAAAGGGAACATTTCAATCAATGGCTAGGCATTTAGCGAATACTATTATAAAAGAGTACAAATCGATTGAGCGAATTCAGAATTATTCTCACAGAATAAGCATTTTAATAATGCTAAGGTTTCCATTAACTGTTAATATTGAGCCTTCTCAAGTTGTTATATTCTTAGCACACACATCTTATTACTTTTATCACATATCTGTAATTAGTTGAACGCACACAATAGAGAGCAGAAATGGTAGCAAAGGAAAAAAGCAAAGGATAGAAAAAAAAGAAGAGGAAAGAAGATGAAACAATGAAGAAAAATGGCAAATAAATGAAAAGGCTAATATTCACAATATGTACTAATAATAGTTATAATATGATCAGGAAAAGCAGCAGTCAAGTTATCAAAGTTATCAAAAGAGAAAAAAGAGAAAAAAAGAGAGAGAAAAAGATGAAGACCAAAAGGCTGGGAATGAAAGATGAGAAACAAAATGAAAGCCTAACGCCTATTTACTTGGTTAATGAATATTTTATCATTATCAAGAGCAGGGAGTTACAATTATGATAACATTGAAAGTTTAAGATGAAAGTAGCGGAAAGATTAAGATATTGTTTTACACTTGAAAGTAAAGTCAGGTTAAGAGGGAAGCAAAATAAGAGTCAAATAATCAATGAACTTTCAAGTCAAAGGTAAGGTTAAATTGCCGTCCAAAGCGAAACTTAAAGGATAAAGTTTCCAGTTTGCCTTCGAATGAAACAAATCTCGAAAAAGGTTGAAAATTTTCGGTAAACAAGAAAAGCTGCTCAATTTGATTGAAATAGCAATTAATTCATCAACTCTATTCCACTCTGTAACATGATAATGAAAATTAACCTTTTTTTCTTCGCTCATCATGAATACAGTTACACTGCCAATTGAACAATTAATTAAGAGCTTTTCTCCCTGAAAAGAGAAAAAAAGAAAAGATTTTTTAAGTTAATCACAGATTAATAATGAAAGTAAAATGTTGAAATCCAAGTCAATCTCAAGATAATTCATGAACAAGAGATCTTGACATTTTCATGTTTTTGTGTTTCTTGAAATTCATCAATTAATAAACGTTTCGATGGCAAAATTTTCTTATTGAAATGTTCAAGTTTGAGACTTGAATAGCTAAGCAAACCTTGAAGTGCAACATTGAATTTCAACCTCAACTTGACTTGTATCTTGATATTGTTTGCTAAATAATTTCAATTTCATTCTTCTTTTTAAATTTGCTCATTTTGCTCTTCGGATCTGATGATCAGAATTGCAATCATTTTCTCCATTTCATTCATGAAATGATTCCCTTTTCAAAAATATATTCCCTTGTAAAGGCGATGAATAAAAGGGACAAAAAAACATTCTCAAAGTACATGGATATATATACACTTTTCAAGAACAGGAAATTAAACTTTCAAAGTGTATATCTTCAATCCTCATCATTTTCCTCTTCATCAAAACTGTCTTCATTTCTAATCAAAATTTTCACCTTTTCTCTTTGTTGCATTTCGTTGACAAAACCTTTTCTCAGTCTAATCGCTGAATCATCAATTTAATCATTTCAACACTTTTTGTGCTTTCTATTCAATATTAGAATACATTTAAAACTATTGTCACTGATAATACAGATAAGTTCAAGTTTCACAAGAAAAATATTGAAACAATCTTCGATTGAAAATATTGAGCAAAAAAATCATTACAAAATGTTTATTTGGCTTCGAATTTTCCTCGAAAATCTTTGAATGAATAAAATTGAAAGCAATTAAAAAAAATTTTTGCAGATGAAGAAACTGACGGTTCTAAGCATCAAAATTCTGACAGATAATGTTGCTGAATGGATTGAATATTTGCTTTAAAAACGAATCATGCAATCAATTAACAGCAATTACCATCTTAAATATCATTTTCATCAGCAATTCCAAACACACAGTTTGATAATGGAAACGGTAAAACAATAATTTTCTGGTTTCTTGAAACCTTACATTTTAAGTATTCATTTCACCATTTCTTTCATTTTATTCATAACCAGCAATTAATAAATCACTTGAATACAACAACAGTGAAAAGAATCACTCACGTAGAAATTAATGAAATGAACAATTTTCGTGATTCGTTTTTTACACATTTCATCATTTAGAATGGAAAAAAGCATTTCACTTTTTTTCCACCAAAAACAAACAGAATGAGTTTCATTTCATGAAGAAAAGGTTCAATCATATCATCTGTCAAGGCTGCTTCCAATCAATCAATCTTAAACTGATGAATCTTGTATTAAATCACGAATAAACATCATTCATCACTTTTCATCTTCAACTTTGTCAGCAAATTTCAATTCTTCAACAGGTAAGAATCTCAAGTTTCAAAGTATGACAAAGATAAATCATAAAGAACAATTGATTCTCTTCTGATCAAAATTTCCCAGATTAATCATTCTACTAATCAAATGAAAAGACAAATTGAAATGCTATTCAATCACCAATGTTTGGTCAAAAATCAACAAAAAGCTCACATAAAAGTCTCTTGTTTGTTGATCAAAAAGAAAAAAAAGTTTTATTGAAATGAATTAAAAATCGAAAAATAAATTTCCATTTCAGTTTACATGGAAATGAACTTTCACTAATCAGTTGAACTACAAGAACAACTTTAATTACAAATTGATCCTTTATTTACTTTTTCATCATTTTAATGATTCCATGTTTAATCATGTTCGGTCAAACG